TAATATGTCATTATCTAATCCTTTTTTGTTATAGGATTGGCTCAACGCAATCACTTGAGAGACCCTTCTCAGTGCAAAAATCACATCATACAGTGATTCAGTGAATGCAGATCCCATTGAAGATTCTTTTGACCGACTCATCTGGGTGAAGCTTTACTCTTATCATTTTTCTTCACCTCCTCAATTCCTTAATCCATCTAAGTCTGATCATGATTATGTTCTATGTAGGAGGCGATCATGGCACAAACCGATTCTTTTAAGCGTTCCCACTTCCCAGAAGGATTTGGAACTACAAGTGGCTCGGGTGTTACCTCAACTGTGAAGACACACATGCGAAACCATGCAATGAAAAATGCAAAGGCTGAATTACGAATCAAGGTATGTGAAGTGAATAGGATCATCTTCTTCTCTTCAAGTGAATTAAATCGCCACTAAAAATGTCTTTCTTGTATGCTGTTTTTAGCTCATGATTGGTGTGCTACCAAGGGTTAATGTTGCACCCACAATCCCAGTTCCTGAGATTAACACAATACACCTCAAGGTACTTGGATTTCTGTTTCATGACGTTTTCATTCACTCTGACTCTGTCTTTGAATCAGGTACATAACTACTGTGTTGAGAAATCAAAAGCTTCAACCGAACTAGAGATAGGGAAGGTTCTCAAACCTGAAATCAAGATCCGAATCATATTGCTTGTAAGTAATTGGGTTTGTTAATCATCCAAAGATACAAGATTAGAAACCGACTCTTCAATACCATCTTTCCAGCGAATGCAAACTTTAAATTCATACAAACTTTCACACCCAGCCAAGCAGTCACAATGGTTCCACATTGATCGCATCTTGAAGGAGATCAGAGATGAGAATAAAGCGCAAAAGAATGTCAAATATGAGACTGCGTAAGCACAGCCAATCTTTCTACATTCAAAGGTATCAGCATATTGATGCCCATACAACTCGCAGTTTCTTTAAAGAGTTACTCCGTCGTGATGCAACCCTCTTTACTGGAAAAACAAAGTATGCCGACTATCCCACCAATGAGAATTTTGCCCCTCCCACCCGCGCTGAAGTCATTCAAATCCTCGGTGAATAAATCAAGCTCATATCACAAAATCAAAAGTAAACATGATATATAGAATATTTGAAGCACTTGTACATCTTAGCTAGCATGTCTTCTTCATTTCATCATCTTATTTTGTATGCTATGAATATATTGTATTTTTATCAGTCAAAAGAATATCGCATTATCCATATTACTGAAATTGTGAAAATGATGGTGTTATTTCAGAAAAATTCCAAGAGATCTTCGGAAAGCTGGTTTGAGGAGTCATCGTGAGAATTCCTTAAATTCCACATTGGATTTCCGAGAATTTTTCATGATGAGCCGCCATGCAGATCATCACCGATGAGTATCCATGAGCAATTCCTGTGTACTCATCTTGATTTTTTACGGTAGGTTTCCGTGAAAAAATCATGATATACCTGAAGAATCCATGAACGATTCTCATGAATCGCTTAGGGTGAATTCATATGAACAATCACCGAGTGATCATCATGACTTGATCACGGTGGTTTCATGTAGGTGATCACGGTGTTTCATCGTAAACTGCTCATGGTGAACACTCATGAATCGATCATGGTGAACAGCCATAAGTTCTCTATGTGAAACCCATGGGACACCTACATTGACTTCACCGCATCAAGGACTGCGGTGAATCAACGACTTGGCTGATCCCAAGTGAACACCGTGGACCACCTATTTAAAATAATTCACCGAACGACCCACGGTGAATCAATCCTGTGGTGTATGGTGTCAGCTGTACTGGCCAGCGGCCAGCGGCCCGCGCTGGTCAGTAGGTTTGCACAGGGCTGCTATTGCTCACGTATGTGACAGCGGTTACTGTCAGCTGACAGTCAGCACTGTCAGGGACCTCCCGGTTCCCCATTGTTCCCAGTCTGATAATCAGACTGATGACAGGGATGCAGGAATGAGTACCGAGTATGAGTATATACTCAACTGATACTCACTTTTTACGGGTTTACAGGGCCAAAAATAGGCAAAAATACTCAGTATACTCAATAATACTCACTTTACTGAGTAAACTCATACTCACTCCTGCATTCCTGGTCTGATTATCAACAATCAGCCATCATCAGATCCGAATCACAACCTCTCAAGTCGATGTAAAAAAATGAGTTTGAAAATCTGGAATGGCGCAGGAATCCAAATGGGCTTAGTCCATAGACGAATTCTTCTGGGGAGAAGCAACATGGATCTTGATGTCATAAAGCTCACATATTGGCCTTCAAGTTTTTCAAATCCAGAGACACTCATATTACAAGGTCAATTGTCCCTATCAATATAAATAAATACATCTTATACACAATAAAACAGTCAACCAATATATCATACGGTAGATAAACATCATCCAAAGTTAACCGAGAACTGTTCATCAAATTGCTAAATTTTTTTCCTTACGAGAGCCTTGATCAGGTTTAGTTCGTATATCATCAGTTGATCTTCTTCTAGGTTTGAGTTTACTATGTGCTTCAGGACTTAAAAGTGATTCTAATAAAAATCCAAAATCTAATCCAACTTCTTTTAGCTGTAAAAAAGTGAAATTTCAAATTCAGATGCTGTACTTCTTTTTGTTTAACAAATATCAAAAGAAAATCACATACCATGCTTGCATGAGCTTTCGTTACTGACATACAATCTTGAATAGATTGTACATCTTGATCAACACCATATACTTGACGTCTAAAGATTGATGCATAAAGTTCAATTTGTTCAGCTGCCCATCTAACAAAGCCTAGGTGTGAAATGAAGTATAAGCATCAGATTAGTCAACAAGATGAAATTCTTCAAGTCAAGATGACCTACCTGAAGCCATCCGATTGTCTCTGAAAGCAGTCATGTACCATTCACACGTATTTTTGATCAAGGTAAAGATTACCATAGCGAGTTGAGAGACCCATAGTGCGATATCGCCCTCAAACTTGATCATCCGACTCCTGGTTTTCACTAATTCAGATCGCATTGATAGAAAGCTCCGTTTAGCTTTCTCGATGTTGGCTACCGCACTAGGAGATCCGAGGGGGTTAGCTGGGTTGATACTCAATCTAGTAATCAAATTTGAAATCTTGATGACTTGTGTTTTCCTAATGGTAGGATCAAGAAGATCATCAAAAAGTTTTTGCATTAAATCTTGTGATTTTTCATCTATTTTAGCTTTTAAAAGTGAATATTGAATTGATTCTGAATTGATGGGTTGTGAAATTGGTGAATTGGGTACAGATTTGAGTTGTACCAAGATTGTTTTAGATTTTTCAATTAATTCACTTGCTTCATCATAAGCTCTACAAGCAATTGAAACAGATAATTCATCTGAAAGATCACCAATCCAACTCAAATCTTTTCCACTTGGATCATGCTTTCCAAATCCTAAGATCTTACTCGGTTGAACGGTTTGTAAATTTGGGATCTCAAATGCTCCTTCTTCGTACATGGTAGGTAAAGGAGGTCGATCACCACCTCCATAGCCATCCAGAGCATGCTGTCGTCCACCCTGTTGAATTCAAATATTGCCCAAAACATCCGACTGCCAGTTAGATCGGGTAGCAGTGTGGATGAGATTTCAAAAAACAATGAGAATGCTAGCTCACCCCCCTGCGCTGCTCAGCTTCCATGATGCTTTGTTTTCGTTTTCGACTAGCAAGCTCTTCAGCTCCTTTTTTGAATGAGCTCAGTAGTGCTCTTTTGTCTTCTGATCTATCAGTTTTAAACAGGGCAGTTTCTCGAGCCCTCGTGATCTTAACGGCGTTATCCAAGTCTAAGAAAACAGATTAAAGATATCAATATAAGGAGAAAAATTTGACCAGTGATTATGTATGATCAAATTGACGAATATCTACCTCCGCCATCTTTAAGATCAGTAACCGAGATTTCGCCCAAATTGAAACACTTATCCGCCACGAGCTTGACCTTACTACTGCCCATGCCCGTTCGTTTAGGAACAGCCACCAAGAGTGTATCATTTAGCAGGAAGAGATGAACGTTGTGTTTAGGTTTATAAGTAATGGAATTGAGTTCTACAAAGGTCTTGCTTTCGGATACAAGATGTCGACCAGGAACGACAGGCAAAAACTTTTGTGAGCCCTCAACATTCTCCCATAGAGCCTCCAATTGAGTTCGATAGAGAGCGTTGACGTCCGCAACTGAATTTCGAGCGGCCCTTTTCCGAATGTCACTTGCTGTATGCGCGGACGAAAAGGGATTTTCGAAAGATTAATCATGTATCATAGAAGGACAAGATCGATGCGTCCATCTAACCACTCACTCAGACTTCCTCCACTCAAATTGAATTCCTCGGATCCTAGACCCATATCTAAATCACCCGGGAGAGTTTTAAATTCTTCCAGAACTGTCTTGAGTTCCAACATCTCATTCTCAAGAGTAGCAATCTCTTTACTGATTGCTACAAAGGCCGAGTAATTTCTGATAAGAAATTCAAGAAATATGAAAAACCTAGTCAGCAAGTAGTGTATCGGGTTACGAACAAGTATGAGAGGGGTTTTACTTGTAGACGTTTTCTTGCAAGTCCTGATTGGTAGCTACTTGAGCTGATCTTAAACGGTCCTTGAAATCTTTGAGATGTTGAGGATCTGAACCACCACTGATCGATAAATGGACCTTTAAGTCTGAGGAATTGAGTCAAAGAACAGTGTCAGTATCTAGCTAATGATTTCAGTTTAATCAGACGCACATTTCTCAGGATCAAACTTATCATGTCCGAGAGTTTCCAAGTCAATATCTGCACCACTCTTCACTCTTCGAGATTCAGTTCGGATACCATCTTCGTTCCTACGCCTTCCTACAGGTCCACCACCGCCTGCTCGAGATACATCGCCTTGCACTAAATGTTTGCCAGGTACTTTCGGCATCGAAGGCATTGGAGGTGCATTGGCAGTCCGGGCTGGTGCTAGAGGTCCATAGGAAACACTTTGCCGTTTACTTCGAAGTGCCGCTCCCACTTTACTCTTCTCTCCTGGACCGGCAGGCAGACCGCGAGGTTGCTCTCGAGGTCTGGGTGTACTACGAGTAGGTTTGGTTGAATCAGGAACTTGTGATCCCGAACGATTTGATTTTGATTGACCTGAAGCTGGGTTTGTAGATCTTCCTGGTGGATTTGGAAATTCGTCTTCGTCCTCATCTCGCCCAGATGCGTTAGGAGGGTATTGAGGGTTTCTAGGTATGTTGGGATCACCAGTTGAGTCCTTTTCATTGTCATAGTAAGTTGTAGGACGTCGAGTACGAAGAGAGGCGTTGGTCCGCCTGCCTGGAGCAGGAGAAGACATTGATCTGAAAAGTGAATCAAAACACTGAAGAGGTGAGTTGGAACTTGGCCGATCAGCACCCTGAGCCGGCTATCACCGTGTTTGTTATGAAGATCCGGCCCTGATCTTGCCGGATTACATACCTACGGAAGCCCTGAGCGGGGGGTGCCACCCTGTGCCACCTCGACATGCAACACGACACACAGCACACGCAAGGCGGGCACGTTAGCACTCTGAAACAAAACCATCATCTCTGGAAGTCATTGTTGACTGATTGAAAAAGCTGAGAGTTTGTTTGCAAACCAAGGTTCTTCATTTTGCATGTTGTCCAATTAGCTCGGTCTACTGGCCACCAGCGTTTTTTTGCTTTCCCTTCACCAAGATCATAGTTATTCAACGTATGCGCTCGAGAATGGTCTCTTCATAATCATTGAATGGACTAATCTTCCAGACGAACACTCAAAGGGTTTGAAAAGTCATTGGTGTGTAGATGGGATGGAGTGAGCCTACGACAAATGCTGAACAACAAAGATTCGAAGCTCAAGAAGTTTTCAACCGAATTTTGGTAAAGTGCAACTGAGCCAAATTCTAACGGAGTGCAGCTTGCTAAGGAGCCTAGCTTTCCCTTTGGCTTCCTAACGGCCAGATGTATACATTTTTTGTGCTTTTGTTCATTTCTTTGATCCTCCAAGAATGGCGCTCCTCAGGCTCTACAATAGTTGGTCGATGATCTTGCAAAACATCACATGGGTTTGGGTACATAAACCCGATAATAGAATCATCCATTGCCACCATTCAATCTCCATCATATAATTCCAAACAATCCATACAAGCAGTATTCAATTCTTCATTCATAGCATTCATAAACTTACACTTAAAGTCAGCATAAACAGTTCTATCGTCTTTATATATCATACACATCTTCAACTTTAATTATACATTAACTTTTTTCAATGGCGCCAACAAAGAATCAGATCACCTTCCCCAAATCCGACGAACTTACTTTAGAACACTTGCAAACAATTCAAGCATGGGGAGAGCTTTACATATTTGATCTCCCTAAGACTTTACGCGGAGATCTTTTCAAGATCAATCTGATCACGTTCCATTGTGGATCCTCCGAGTCCCTGGCTCCCCAAACTAGTGTAGAGGCATCAGAGGAAATTTGGCCTGGTAACCCCGAATGGATCAAAAGGATCAAATTGTTTGGACAAGCCTACAGATTCGAATTCTTTCGTTGTGTCTTACCTCAGTCTTATGATCGTGAGAGTGGTTTGATATTTGATAAACCTCTTTTCGAGTTACAAAGGTTACAACACGATCCTGTAATCTTTGGTCACAGACGTTGGACTTTGATCATCTTTGGAAAAGAAAACATTGCTGCTATCCATCTTCAAACTGATTTAGCAAAACATGATGAAAGCGAAACTATCAAAGACAGATTGGTAGTCCTCAAAGATGAAGTGATCAAACGTTAGTTACCAATCTCGGGTAGACTTTTTTTTAGTAAAGGCTGACTTTGATTCACGAAACATCTTTCCAACAATCAATCTAGCTGCCCCAGGTCTCGAAAGCAAAAACGGCGATTCCAAGAGTTATCCAAAGAGCAAAAAGGAAAAAGTTGTCGAAAAATTATCTCGTAAAAAAGGAGCAGTTGATAGAGACCACATGAACAAGGTACGCAATTTAATTCTCAATTCGGATTTTTCATCTCCTCTGATCTCATGTCTCTGTTTGTTTCATAGGCTGGCTCCGAGCTCTTGTCGTCTTGGGAAAATGAATTAGACAAATCGGAACTTATCTTCGTTGGTGCTAGTAAGAAAGAAATCTCAACTTTCTTTCCAGAATCATCATCATTACATAATAAACTTCGAGCTTTTCCTTTCGCCTTTGGATCTCCGGTGAGTATTTTTTTGGGATTTAATTTGGTTAGTTTTGTTATTCTGATACAAGATGTTTTGATGTTTTGTATTCAACTTTCCAGGACATCGAGGAGCTCAAGCGTTGCTACGTGAAGCTTACTACAGCTAAGCTTGATCGTGACTTATAGATAGGATTCCAACAAGTGGACTTATTGCTATAACAAAGGAAATATAGAGGATGTCAATACACATTTCATTTTCATTGATTGTACATAACCATTATCTTCAAGCTGTTTGTTTTGTTAAATATATTAGTCGTCGCTTTGTTTAAGTCAGACAATGAGATTTTCTTTCATCATTTGCTTGAGATTAGTGATCATGTAGTTGTGTCAGAACTGGATACAGTGATCAATAATGGTGTTTCAGACTCCTCGAGAGGGCATGGTCTTTTTTGATGGCAAGAAGCTTATGTTGGTGTCGTATCATAATTGTTTCTTTCTCTCTCGCATCAACTCAATCATCTCTAAAAGCAGAGCTTTTATTACGCAAAAGCGATGTACAGGAGAAGACTTATAAGATTGGATGCTTTTGGTAACATTCCGACGCCTAAATCGATGATTTAAGTGTTTCAAGATCAGGATCTGTGATCGCGAAAAGCAACAATATTACGCTTGGTTTTTCGAGATGACGTAGTTAGCCTTTGTTATACAAAAGCAATGGGCAAAGAGTAATTTCAACATTGGATGCTTCTGAATGGGTTCCACACCTAAATCAAGGATTTAACTGTTTCAAAAGTTTTCAAGATGACGCAGGTCTTTTGTTAAACAAAAGCGATAGGCAAAAGTACTTAGAGCATTGGATGCTTTTGAATTGGTTACATGCCTAAATGGAGAATTTAGGTGATCCAAAAGCGGGGTGTAGAATTGGGAAAAGCAACAATGTTACACGCAAAAGGAGAACAATCAGTAAAGCATAAAAATATCGCAGAAACGGTTTATCAGGGGAATAAAAAGGTATAAATAGATGACAATCCGTCTACTGATATTCATGCCATTCATGCTCCCAAGCGATCCTCGTGAGTACACTGTAGAAAGTGAGTCACATTTGAGCTCTAGCCTAATGATTCTGGAAACAAAGTTGCGATATGTTTCTTACTAGCACCAACGAAGATAAGTTCTGATTTTTCTAATTCATTTTCAAAAATCGGAACTTATCTTCGTTCGTTGGTGCTAGTAAGAAACAAATCTCAACTCTCTTTCCAGAATCATCATCATTATATAAAACTTTGAGCTTTTCCTTTCGCCTTTGGATCTCCGGTGAGTATTGTTTTTGGAATTTAATCTGGTTGGTTGTTTTGCTATTCTGATACAAGATGTTATGATGTTTTCTATTCAACTTTCCAGGACATTGAGGAGCTCAAGCGTTGCTACGTGAGGCTTACTACAGCTAAGCTTGACCGGGACTTATAGATAAGTTCCCAACAAGTGGACTGTTGTAACAAAGAAAATATAGAGAATATCAATACGCATTTCATTTTCATTGACTGTTCATAGCCATTATCTCCAAGCTGTTTGTTTCGTTCAATATATTAGTCGTCGTTTTACTGAAATCAGACAATGAGATTTTTTTGCATCATTTGCTTGACATCAGTGATCACGTGGTTGGGTCAGAACTGGACACAGTTATAGTCGTGTTTCAGAGTCCTCAAAAGGTCATGGTCTTTTTCGATGGCAAAGAGCTTATTTCCTTGCCGCTCTAATGCAATTGGCAATGTTGGTCTCGTATCATATTTATTTCTTTTTCCCTCGCATTAACTCAATCATTTCCAGCAGCAGTTCTTGAGGGACACTGGCTTCTGAGGGATACTTCTGTTCCTTCTGAGTACTTCAGGGATGCTCATCACGGAAAAACGGCCGATTTCTCTGCTCTCTTGCATCAACCAAAATGTCACACTGGCGATTATGTGGCGATGTGAATTGGCAGTGAAGATCATCACCAGACTTGAGTGATCATCACAAGGTCCATGGACTCACGTATGAGTGAGTCTATGGTGAGTCTTAAGTTGTGTGTACACTGTTCCATTAAAATCTATCTTCACTAGTGGTTTGTCATTTTGTACATATTCCGCATTTTTGTCTGCTTCAAGTTGACTCTCATCATCCTCGGATAGAAACACAGAATTCATTCATTCTCTGAAAACCCCAATCTGGCCATTTCCTTCTCTTCCTTCACCCCCGCTCGCTAAGACTCAACACCACCAAGCCAGTACTGGACATTCACAGGCAAAATGAAATATTGAATAAGATTGATAATATAATAAATGTACAAAAAAAAGGAATGATGATAATTCAAAATAATCTTTGCAAGGTTTGCATAAAAAAACAATATAACATCAATAATACAAATATATGGATGTCAGAAAAAAAAAGAATGAAAGAAAAGTTATTTTCCTTTATTTGTAAAGAATATAAAAACAAGAGATATAAACAAACATATGTATGTATTTACAATTTTGAAAAAAGCTTGTAAAAATAAAGATGATCAAGAAAACTTTGGAAATTGAAAAATGATGTATTTTTTACAAAACAAAGAGTGAAAAAGAAAAAAAAATGTAAAAAAAGTCTTGTTAACTTTGCAAAAAAAGAATGAAAGGAAAGGAAAGGAAATAACGGTATATGCTTCCTGAAAAAGATAAACGATTGATAAGAATTGAAGGGAAAATTTAAAAAGAAACAAAGTGAACAAATTGATCTTGTGATCATGAAAAGAAATCAAAAATCAATAAAATCAATAAAGACTTGAGGAAAAAATTGAAAAGATATGATGAAAAAGTATATCAAATAATTAATCTTCTTGCGGGAAAGATTCATCACCTCTCAAAGAAGAATCAGATGTGGTGGTAGTAGTAGTAGTATGAACAGAACGATGACAAATCGGACAAAACGTTTGATAATGTAACCATTTCACTAAACATTTAGCATGATAAAGATGACCGCATTTCAAACTGACACATTTCTCGCCTCTTTGATTTGCATTACCATTACCAGAATGATTCAATTTAGTAGGTGATCGATTGGTTTCTTCTAAACTAGGTGATTTACTTGAATCATCCGAATCATCCGACCTTTCTTCATCTTCAAAACATATACTACATTTCCAATCTCTTCCTTTTTTATTAATTTCAGGCGAGAATCGACTTAGAACCGATTCTAAACATCTAACCGTGTGAAGGGCTGATCGATATAGGTTTTTTAATCTTTCAATGCAAACTTTTACATAAGTAACGGTGAGGATTAATGGAAACCAATAGTAAGACGTATACGGTAAGTGAACCTTGTAGAATCAGGTTGTAAAGGGTCGAACCAGATTTTTGTCAGCATTCAATCAATAGACTTACACATATCTTTATATGAATGAGAATTCATTTGAAAGGTTTTGTTGACCACTCACCATGACCACTGCATAACTTGATATGGCAGCTATGCAGACGCAAGCTTCCACTAACACACTCAATACCCATTTCGTCTCCACTTCAACTACCACTGGAGATTGATGATGATTGGTGTTTGTATGATTAGAATTCGACCTATTTCGAAGCGTTTCTATAGCAGATGATCGATGTCGATCATTGAAAAAACGACCATTTTCAGATAAAGGATCGAATTCAACTAAAGATCTCGTAGGTCGATGTGTGATTCGAGATAGAATTCGATTAGGGATTTTGATAGCTTTGGGTAAAACTTTTTGAGGAAGAAAGTGTTGAGCAGGTTGACATAAACAAACTAATGCTACTCCACATTCAATTAAGATTAAACTTCTAGCTGGTTTTAAGAAAGGAGCTCGATCTAGAAAGAAACTGAGAATCTTGAGTGCTTGAAGACCAATAATTGAGATTCTAACTTCAGTCATTTTTGAGTCAGATGTTGAAGTACTAGTATCCATTGAGTTTTGATGATCATGATTAGAATCCAATGGATTTAAAGTTTGACAAATCCTTCTAAAAGGCAAATCATGCCAAATCGCACCAGTTTGCCAAGAGCCAGTTTCGCCAAAAGTTTCGATTGCAATAGTTGAAATGATCATGATCGAAACAATCCAAAACACAAATGGTTCCCAAAATGATCTTTTACTCCATTGATTTCTAAATCGAAATTTAACTCTTGACCAAAGTTTTGACCAAGATGATGAACTTCTAAATGAATGAATAAATGTACTTGAGCAAGCATCTTTAATTAAGGCATCTTCAATTAAAAGTGATAAAGCTTGAATGAAGAATAAAGTATGAAGTAAGATGATCAGATGAGCAAATGGACTTGAGATTGGTGTACAGATCATTGATCGGAATTTCCAATTTGCATCTTGAGATTTAGTTAACCCGTTACTTGAAGATTGAGTGACTAGTTTGATGAGTTGAGGATTAAGATGAGATGAAGATTGATGAATTAATTGAGGATTTGACCAACGTTTGATTGAAGTTTTGATTTCTTGTAAAACTTCATCACATCTTTGTCTTACACTTTTGAGTCTTTTGGGAGCATGTGGACAAATGATATTATTACGATGATCTAAATAAGCATCAGGACATGATAAAGGATGAAGTCGATCTTTATTTGAAGAATGACTCTTTTGAGGATTTGAAGGTTTCTTTGAGGATAATGGTTTTTGAGATGTTGATGATTGCGATTGTGAAGATGAAGACTGCTGATGATGATGAAGCGGATAAGCTGATTTTGATGATAAGTTTGAATCAGATTGAATTGATTGATGTAAGTTTCTATCGATCGAAGGAAATGTGATGAAGAGTAAGATGATTAAGACTATCTTGGGTCTATAGTAAACTGATCGAAAGAGTTCTAGTGTCTGTTGGTTTCAAACAATCCAATAGTTAGTATCAGTTAGTGAGATTGGAGTATTTGATTTTGCTTACCTCTGGATTTGAAGATGAGAAGGTGAGCATGATGATGTTGAATGTTGGAGAATGTTCTTTTGACTTTGAATACCAACCAACGAAGGATGCTCAAGTCACAGCTCACTTTCATTCATTCTCCTCCTCACTCCCACTCTATGAACAGTTTCATTCATAATTCCATTTCTACACAGACAACACCTTTGTTATTTTGTACCTCGGGAGCTCGGAGCTTTGACGCCCGACACCCGAGCTTGGCTCTCCAACCTTTCTCTCGGTCTGCATCTTATCTCAATCTGACCATTACATATCAAATCTCAGGCTACAAGTTTGGCTTTTGTTTAATTCCAAACTTGCCTTTGATTACCAACTTTTACCAACTTCAACCCCCAAAAGGGCATTGGAGTTCCAGATTTTAAGTAAGAAAACCCTGAGACTTCATCAATCTTATATCACCTCTTATAATGTGAATTGTACTTTGCAATAGTTGATTGAAATCTTATATTCAGGCTAAACTGTCTCTGCCCACATGGTACTGAAGAAAAGTGACAGCTTCTTTCGGCTTTGAACCTTAGACATTGGTTAATTTTAAAGATTGATAGTGGTTGAAGATGAAGGTCTTGAGCAGACAAACACTTGAATCTGGCCTTAACAACACTTCCATGATCTTTGATTGGGAAAGCAACTCAATTGATGACAGTTTCAAACAAAAAACTGCCAGAATACAATGGGAGAAAAGTGCCCTCTTCAAACAGATTCTATATACCTTTATCCTAATAAATATCTCACACATGTGCTCCTCACACATGGGGAGACATGGGGATTCCAGAGGGGCTTCAAACTTTCAGTTCTTGTCAGGGATGCAGGAATGAGTACCGAGTATGAGTATATACTCAACTGATACTCACTTTGTATGGGTTTACAGGGCCAAAAATAGGCAAAAATACTCAGTATACTCAATAATACTCACTTTACTGAGTAAACTCATACTCACTCCTGCATCCCTGGTTCTTGTGGTGACCTCCTTGTTGCTATTCACAACCTCAAATCTTTGACCATTGAGTGGATTCACTTATAAGAAAAGTTTCAATCAAAACCACCAACCCTATTAAACTTAGTGAAAGTTTGAAGGTTGAGTACAATTATCCTGAGGTGGCAGGAGGGGCATCAAGCACTTTTGACCCAGTACAGAGCACACTCAATCCTCTTATCATGAATGTTCATGCTGCAATGATGTTCCTAAGTCTGTTACCAATAAGGAGATCTCAGAGCTATGCATTTTGCATAGTTAGGACTGGTACACCACAAAGACACCTTTTTGCAGGAGGATGTCCCAAATGCTCTACATCACGACCTTGGGCTGGCATCCCAAGTCAGGACATCATTGAGATGACCCTGAGGTGTGACATTCTCACTTCATCCTTTGGATGCCATGGCGGTGTCTGAGGGGAATATCCGGTGGACGCCTTGCAGGAGACAGTGTCAAGACGTCTTGCCCTCTGCAAAAAAGAGGACATCCTGAATGTATCTGAGTGTCCTTGTGGTGTAATTTTGCAATAGTTCATAATTACATCTCCTAACTTGTTTCTTGCCTGGCCACTCTTCCATGAGATCAGAACACATGTCTTTCACAATTTAGAGGGCCCTGTTTACTTAAAGCACCACTTTCAACAAGAATATGAAGTTTCATTCTTGAAGAATCTGAACCTGAGACAGATCTTCTTCATCCTAAGTGAATCAATGCATTGTGAGACTAGTTCTGACAAGTAACCAGCTGAAGGTCTTGATTCTATGGTATGAAGGGTTGGGTCAACGTCTGTTGATTGAAGGATGAATTCATGAAAAACTACAGTGACTGACAACCTGAGAAAGTCTGAATTGTCAAAGAATGAAATCTAAAGTGTCTTATGAATATTTGGTACCTCATCTAAATAAGCTTGGCTCCCAACCCAAGAGATTCTCCTAATTTATCCATGCCAATGACTGTGTTTATACTCCATTTTCTTCTGTGACTTGATTTTTAACTTGCAAAACTGAATGCAGTTGATGTATGATATAACTTGATATTACAGATCTCCTTGGGACCATCTGAGGCATTGATAAATTTTTTTTTCACTAGATGGTCAACATTTGGGCCCAAGCATAAGCTAGGCACTTGAGCCCCTTGGGTTAGGTACATAAGGTCCTAAGCCAAGTACTTAAGGTCTTGAGCCAAGTACTTACGGTCTTAAGCCAAGTACTTACAATCTTAAGTCAAGTACTTAAGGTCTTAAGTCAAGTACTTAAGGTCTCAAGCTAGGTACTTATAGTCTTAAGTGTCCGTGACAATGTGGACTTACACAGACCGGGGCCAGCTATGTGTCAGTGGTCCTGTGGTAGACCCAACGGGCTTACCCGCAGGGTAGATTGTAGGGAGAAGTGTTTGACCCAGGTGTGATGCAAGCTTTGCATATGTATCACAAGTTGCCTTGAGAAGCTTTTTGATACTCTGATGGTAGTGTGTAACATCCTTTCTTTGTTAATCTTCATTAACCCAACCATGTTCTCAAACCATATTGGTTTGCCCTCACTTTTAATCTCTCAACCTCCAATGATGTATATTTGGGCTATTGTTCACTTTCAAGAATTCCTACACAATCATGAACCTCATTTTGAAAGTTCACACTCATTCACAAGGTCATTCTAACAAAAGCCAAGACAAAAACAAGTAGAGAAAAAAAATAAAGTAAACAAAAGGATCAAGAAGAATTTTTAAGGAAATGACAAGAAAAAGAGCAGGAAACAATGTAACAAAGTCACATCACGTATAGCGGGTATAGAAAGTTTCCAACCACTACTTGACCCTTGTACATGGGTTTTTTTTGAATCCATGCCAAAAAAAATAAAAATCAGAAATGCCTGACAATTGGGCCCGGGGCCAGCCCCGGGGCCGCCCGTAGTCAGGTGTAGCACAGAGTAGACTTTAACTACTGTACCACATCTAAGAGCATCCACTATTGTTGCTGTAAACAGCCTCGGTACTGTAAATTTGACTGAAATTTACCGTACCAAGGCCAAAAATCCCCAATCGTGTACAAAGTACAGATCGGTAGCTACAGATTCGGTCAAAAATCTGTAGAGGTCCAGTAAATCTACTGCACCTCTACAGAATCTGTACCGAATTGGTATCCACCAAATCTACCGATTCTACATAGGGATTCATCACCACCTTCCCAAAATCACCCTCTACTATCCTTCAATCTCTATCACCCTCTCATCGATCAACTCTTTCATCTTCTCATTGATCAAATTTTTCATCTTCTCATCGATCAAATTTCTTGCCTTCTTGTCAATCAACCATTTCAACCAATCTTCTCAATAATCGACTTGATCAAATCAAAGTGACTTCATCAAATGAACATCTTGTGCTATTTTTTTGCTTTTTTTGATTGTCCTTGTTGTTGTACAATCGTCCATCAGACAATGATGGATCCTTGAGGTCATTCATCAGACCATGATGGATCTCAGCATCTCGTAAATCTAGATACTTTGAGACTATCCATGTTTCTGAGCCAAGGTCAATAGCTTGCAGATTATTTACTGAACGTACAATTCTCTATGATTGTGGGGCAGGGTCATTTCTGTACGGTACGTACCGTACAGAACGATATTACTGAAACGATAGTGGATTTCCACCTTTCTGTACCTAAATTTACTGTACTGTGAAATCTGTACTGTAAAATTTACTGAAATTTTACTGTAACAATAGTGGATGCTCTAAATAAGTTTGCCTCCCAACCCAAGAGATTCTCCTAATGTGCTCATGCCAATGACTGTGTTCATATTCTATTGTCTGCTGTGACTTGATTTTTGACCTGCAAGACTGAATGCAGTTGATGTATGATAGAACTTGATATTACAGCTTTTGGGGGTATGAAAAAAACAGGTGTGAGAAGTACAAAATGTTGAAGAATGCTACAGTGAAACAGAAACAAATACCTCACATATTTCCAGGGAGTTTTCACATAAGATTGATGAATACAAATGAATTACAAAAAAATGGTTTACAAAGGTCTTTAAGTGTGTGCCCCTTGACAATCCACAGCCAAAGAGGCATGGTAAATTTTAAGAATAATAAAAACAATACCTTGTGTTCACTATGAGCAACTAGTGGTGCATATGTGTCCCCAATTATTGATTCAAAACAAGCTTGATACCCAAATCATAAGGCGGAAGAGCATCTTGAATATCAGAAACTTGAGACTGGTATCCTGGCTTGCCATCCTTATCAAGATCGGGAATTTACACTCAGAAAGTTGTTTCTGAGACATTCTCATCAAAATAGGGTGATCAAATGTTAGAAGTCATATTTGAAGCACTACCTACATGCTGAATACTTGAATCTACTTGTCCAAATTGAGATAACTAGATCCAATACCAAGTCTGGTGGTAATGCACATACAAGTCCAAATGTTTTGATGTTAAAGATGGTGAATCCCTTTTTTATAATTTCAGTATCAATGTGAGGGGTCAGCAACTATTGGGCTGACTCTTCACTAACAAGATGAAGTGCAAACAAAAGATAGAGTCTTCACCTGGTGCACCCAAGTGAATACTGCAGTCAGTTGACCTCTAAGAAGAGGATTTGAATCCAGTCAGAATGGCTGAGCTGTCCTTCCTTAGGATGTGGCTGGATCTTTCATTTCCAAGGATCTTGCTAGGATCACTGGTTGATCTTACAACACTGGACCCTGTAGTACTTTATAATCTGAGGTATCAGAGGTTCCACAGGGTACTTTAGACTCTCTTATGAGGTGCCCTTTGTAAATTCCAAGCTTGTTCTGTTAGCTGAAGATCCCACAAGCTAAGAACACCACTTGAGGTTTTACACTTACCTAGTTGAAAAGCAGAACTTTGATAATCAAGAAAACAACAGAATCACTGTACTCAATATTATTATTCTTTGGGAAGAATCAAGTAAGATTTGATGAAGAGTTTTGTAATGGTAACAAGTTGGTTCCTCTTCCAAAGTGGGAAGAGGAAGGGTTTATATACTCCACGACCTAGGTGTCAACTTGTGGTTGGCACTTAGGTTTGATGTTCCTTGGGTTAGGTTTAAACTTCAATATTTAGGTTATGGTTAAATCTTATTTCTTAAATGACTCTTGCTATGAGGTGTATTTATCATGGTTTTAGACAAGTTAGTTATATTTACGTATGTATTATATGTATTTACATGTGTGTTGGTTAGTCTGTGCCATGTGGTCCTGTACAAAGGGCTCAGGGCTGACAATTAATGTAGATTTTGAATTGATAGTTGGGGTTGAACTCATGGCATCATCCATGTCAATGCAAAAGTTACAATAAATTGATATAATGAGATGAAAGTACTCCTTGAATTGGTGATAAGCAGGGTCATATATGTGGCAGAATCCATATCAATGAAGTACTTGTGATCATAATGATGATCTGGTGTATTTAAAGCTAAGTCATCTAATTAAGTGGAATTGATGAATTGATGACCTATTCAAAATATTGAAAGTAAATTAAGACCACCCACATCATTTAGAAGGGTTAATACCTAAATTTCAAACAAGAATGGTATTAGATGAGTCAAAACCATTGAAGAGAAGTTGAAAATCACTATATGATAGAGAGAAAATGAAACATCACTGTGTTGCTTCACAGTTTAACTTTGGTAATGTTTGATGAAGCTCAAGATTTCCACCTGGTGTGTTGTATGATGAGTATGTGGATTCATGTGACTAACTAATTCCAGATGATGTTGCTCACTTAATTATAGTTGTGGGGAAAATGATGATGATCATTTGTATTGGTTAATTGATTCTTATGGTGAGTATTATTTCTTGATTTGTTTAGATATTTTTTCCTGATGTTAAGTATTGACTTTGAATTTCTTTAGAATGATCTGGTGTAGAAATCCTACACAGAGTAGCGTAGGCTGAGCCAGAGAGGGGAAGAATCACCACTTGTGAGAGCAGTGAAACTACAGGTGCTGTGAAGCTGCCCTCAACCTTGAAAATTGAAGTTCAAAAATAAATGTGGAGCAATTCTAACAACTTTGGTCTTGACAGAGATTTTGATGTAAAAATTTGTTTATTCTTCTGTGTTCACTGTTTCAAGTCTAATAATAAAAAAAGGTTGAGCAAAAAATTTCCTGCAAACCTGGTCTATCCCTGTTGATTTATTCACAAGCCCTGGCAAAGTCTGGCAATATGCTGTACAATCCTGTACCAATGTTCTCTGCAGAGTTATCCACATTTACTTCTCAAATGATTGGCATTGGGTCAACCCAAAGGTGGAACTCAAACAGAATTCAAACAGAATATGTAATTTGAATTGGGTGTATAGTGCGTGGAGGAAAAGTTTTGTCAAATTTGAATTAAGGCCCAAAATGATTGCTAGACCTCAAAACTTGTCATATTAACCAGCCAATCAAAGTTATGGAATTCTTTCATTGCAAGCATTCCATGCATATATTTTTTGTTGTTATTTTCAAAACAATGAATCCATACCAAGACGTCAATTTTTGTGATTTCTTTTAAAGCTTGGGAATGCTCTCATCAAGAGCAATCCCTGCATATCTTCTTGGAGAAAAACAATGATTTTTAGGGTCTTTTTCAAGTATTGGTTTTAATTTACAAGGCCAATTCTACCTATGTGGGTGTGGGACAAATCTAGTTGTGGAGAAGTGCAACATCAGGAACACAAGATCCTTTATTTGGGACAGTGAATCAACCTTGAGTTGATAGGGCAGCAAACAAATGCAAAAGACTGTGATGTGAAGATTAGACTCCAATCTGATCATAGGGGTTTCAAATTTGACTCAGTGGGGCAAAATGGGCAATTTATTGGGTATCTATGCAATTCCAAATTGACAACTACTCACCTCCACGCACTATAGCACTTGGTAGTAGTACATGCTCATACAGATTGACTCAAAGGTATAATTCATGTACCAGGAAACATTTATAGATGATTCATGTTGGCAATCTGTGAGGAATATTGAGGTAAGAAGTATAATTTCTTTCCACCACAAAAGTTTCCATTATTTGTGGTATTTTGACCGCAGCTTCAAAGTACGTTGCCATTGTAAACAGGATGTATACCCCTTTTTTAGCTTGAAAAAATAGTGGCTCTCAAACCTGACCCAGTTTCAAAAAACCCGGTTGCCCTAGTGGAATTTTTGGCTGGGATCTGTCAACAAATGTCAACTTGATACACAAAGTTACTGCCAAAAAACAACTGGGTCAACTGGGTTTTTTGAAAACCGGGGCAGGTTTGAGAGCCACTAATATATTGGACAAAGGAAGTTACTCTGAATTATCTCAAAAGCTGTAGTACGGTTTTTTACAACACATCAAATTCACATTTTCATTCTGATAAGTCCCGCCCAGTATCAAGTACAAGGACCTCAAGAATAGTGAACAGGACCAAGATCAAGGGGTTGTCTGTGTGGTGTCAGTATCACTTGTTACCAGGAGAGTTGGGAAGGTACCGGACAAAACTGGACAGTCCCGAGTGTACCGAGTCATCCCCCCGCCGCAGACATGCGAAACTGTTCAACGGTCCCGCAGAGAAGCCAGAGGGCGAATGAGAAGAAAGGTGGTTTCATCAAAACACGTTTTCTCACAATCCTTCTATATATTGTCGACCATCTCACTTCAAACTACTTCATCAACGAATTGATCACTTGCCGACTCTAATTTCATTCTTTCGACCACCATGTCGAATGTCAAGGTAGTCTGTCGTTTTCGTCCACCAAATGCTCTTGAGCTGAAGGAAGCAGGAAATGAGCCTATCGTCATCATCAACGATGAAGGTAATAGTGTTAAACTCAAATCTCAAGAGGGTATGAAAGGACCAGACGCGGCTGGATTCACTTTCGATCGTGTTTTTCCAATGGATACAAGACAAGTGGAAGTGTTTGAATATGGTGTCAAAGGAATCGTGGAAGGTTAGCTGTTTTTCACAATTGCCCTGTAACCGATCATCTCGATGCTTACTTAGTTTACTCCTCGTTCTATGCATCCAGATGTACTCGGTGGCTATAATGGTACGGTATTTGCCTATGGTCAAACAGGTTCTGGAAAGACCTTCACAATGATGGTCAGTTGCATGATCATGTTCTGCTCTTCTACACAATTGTAATGATATCTCTTCGGTTTGTCTAATCGATAGGGAGCCGATATAGACAACGGTGAACTGAAAGGTATCATACCTCGTATCACTGAACATATCTTTGATTCTATTCTCGCCAGTCCTGGAAATATTGAATATGTAGTCAAAGTCAGTTATATGGAGATTTACATGGAAAAAATCCGAGATTTATTGGCTCGTGAGTATCAACTTCTTCGAACGTGACTCAGTCAAATGGATTTTCTAATGTGAATCGCTTATGATTCGATATAGCCCACAACGACAATCTCCCCATTCACGAAGATAAGAGTCGTGGAGTTTACGTGAAAAACCTTTCAGACTTCTATGTCGGTAGTGCACCCGAAGTCTATCAGATTATGAAACAGGGTGGTGAAGCTAGAAAAGTCTCCTCAACTAGTGCGTAATACGTTCAATCCTTCACTCACTGGTCCGGGGAGAAAATCTAAACATCTTTTTGCCTGTTGTTCCCACTTATCAACCAAGTCATGAACGCGGAATCATCCCGATCACATTCGATTTTTGTCATCACCATCAACCAACGTCATGTGGAGACTGGTACTCAGAAGAGTGGTAATCTTTTCTTGGTCGATTTGGCTGGTTCTGAAAAGGTCGGAAAAACAGGAGCTAGCGGACAAACATTGGAAGAAGCCAAGAAGATCAACAAGTCTCTTTCAGCTTTGGGTATGGTCATCAATGCTCTCACCGACGGTAAAGTGCGCTTATCTCTTGACCTACGAACATGCCATCTTCAGCGATCGCTCGTCACACAAGAATCCATCTTCTGACACGTTCTTGGCCTACTATCTCATTTTAGTCTGCTCATATCCCCTACCGAGATTCAAAACTTACAAGAATTCTGCAAGAATCTCTCGGTGGTAACTCGCGTACCACACTGGTTATCAATTGTTCACCTTCTTCCTACAATGAGGCCGAGACTCTTTCAACCTTGCGTTTTGGAATGCGAGCCAAATCCATCAAGAACAAGGCCCGCGTGAATGCAGAGCTTTCGTCAGCCGAACTGAAAGCATTGTTAAAGAAAGCTCAGGGCGATACTGGCAGACAGCTTTCTTATATCACTCTTCTCGAAGGCGAATTGACCATCTGGAGGAGTGGGGGACATGTGGACGAAGCCGAATGGGCTACTATGGAAAAGGCTCTAGGTGTCAAATTGCATGTCAATGATAGTGGCCAGGTCTCTGTCGGAGGCTCGTCCATCTCCCCGAAGCCCAGTGGACGAGAAACCCCTAGCACCCCTACAGGTACAATGTCAAATCGGGCATCTGCTATTGCCAGTCACCCAGCACTCGAGGCTCTTCGTGAATTGGCTCGACCTGGGACACCTTCGGTGACTTTGGAAAAAGATGAGCGTGAAGAGTTTTTGAGACGAGAGAACGAATTGAGTGATCAATTGGCAGAGAAGGAGGAGGCTCTAGCCAAACAAGAACGTACGATGCAAGAAATTCAAGAAGAGTTAAGTTTCTTTAAAGAGCAGGAGTCAAGTATGTCAGCGGTTCGTCGGTTTTCTCTACTCGATTTTACTTTTCTCTCTCTCTCTTGGTTACAGTTGAGTGAAATGTATCTTTTGAAACGATGAAATTCGATTGATCAGGAAAACAAAACGATGGCTAGCGACTTGAACGAGTTACGACTTCAAGTGGAAAAGCTATCGTATGAAAACAAAGAGGCTACGATTCTTGGAGATGCCATCAGGGAACAGAATAATGATTTAACTACTGAGCTAGAAGAGCTCAAGAAGACGATCGTTGAACTCAAATCGGCTCAGAAATCTATTACCGACGAAAGTAAACAGAGAAAGAAAGCGGAAAAAATGGCGCAGTTGATGGCGGGTTTCGAATCGGTAAGGCCAACCTCGCAGATGTTGATGCGATTTTTCAAAATACTTATTCTGTTTCTGAATGTTTTTTTTGACACGCAGACTGCAATCTCGCAGAAAGAAGATGCTATTCGAGAAATCCTACAGAAGCTAGATGAAGCGGCCAATGTTGATAGACCTTTGTCTACTGAAGACCTACTACTTCTGAAACGACAATTGACTGACTCGCAGATATTGGCCAATGAATCAAATGAGAGGGCTAAGAAGGCTCAAGAGGAGATCGATTTGTTGAGCAGACGCAAGGAAGAATTAGAGAACCGGTTGGGATTGCTCGAACAGGATTATGAAGATCTTCTGGAACGAGCTTCTGCTGCTGTTGGTGCTGGTGGGATTAATGGGAATGATGACATCAACGAACTGGAGAGTATCAAGGTCAAGTTAGAAGCTCAGACGGCAGCCAAGAGGGAAGCTACATTACTTGAGATCACCGACCTCAAGCAACAGCTCGACATCAAGGTCCATGAGAACCGCAGTCTGTTGGTGACAATCGATAATCTCAAAGGTGCTAACGAGGAATTAAAGGTAAGTCTACTCGAAACATGATGTTTGAAGACTTGTACTGATCTGTAAAATGGTTGTTACCTTTCAATAGAGAGCCTTTGCTGTCACTGCAGCTGGAATTGAAGGTGGCAAAGATTTGGCCGAGAGCGCGAAAGATATGGAACGTATCCGAAAGACTATGGCCTCGCAATTGTCTGAATTTGACACCATGAAGAAGAGTCTGATGCGCGATCTTCAGAACAGATGTGAAAAGGTGCGCGAATCAGGGTATCACTAGCAATTTTCTGAAAATTAACATCTTTATCTTTTGATGAATAGGTCATTGAGCTAGAGATCTCATTAGATGAGACTCGAGAACAGTACAATAACGTACTCCGAAATTCCAACTCGAAAGCCCAGCAGCGGAAGATGGAGTTCCTAACCCGAAACCTCGACCAACTCACCAATGTACAAAAACAACTAGTAGAACAGAACAGTATGTTGAAGAAAGATGTGGCGATTGCAGAAAGGAAATTATTGGCCAGGAATGATCGGATCACAAGTTTAGAGAGCATGTTAGGAGAGGCTCAAGAGAAGTTGAATGCTCAGAATGCTAAGTTTGAAGCCCAACTTCATGCTGTAAGAGAAAGATTGAATCAAGCTCGTGCTCAGCAAGAGAAGATCCCTGCCGGGGGTGGTTTGGTATTTGGAAGGATCGCCAAGCCACTCAGAGGTGGTGGTGGGATGACCAATGAATCAACTGGTAAATTTAAATCATCATCAATATTTATGATTTATCATAGGCATCCACAAAGTGAACTGACACTGACCGCATTGTTTTTATTGCGCCTTCGTTATTTTCGAAACCTAGATCCCGGTCAGCGAACATCCTGGTTCGCCCGCAAATAGATGACTTGAGATGGTTTCTTTTTCTTTCGTTCGCTTCTGCTCTTGTAATTCTTCAATATCTCCTCTTGTTGGCTTTGTGGTCCAGGATCATGGGCTAGGTTAATTTCGTTTTGATATCGTCTTCCATTACTACCGATATACATACATGATTTTTTTTGCGTTTTAAGTATCTTCATCCAAACTTTTTGCCACGTTTTGAGAGATTGTGTTTTGTTTTTTCCTCATATTGCATCACTTTCAAGCTGTTTTCCTCAGATCATTCTTTTTTTCAGTCCCTTTTTTTAGATGGCTTTTGGGAATCAACTTAAATGGCAGAAACGAATTTATATATAAGAACAATCAGTCATTTGTATTTACTTTGGTTGGCCTTGGTTGTTCTGGGGAAGGAAATTAAGGTTTTAGAATCACTTGTGAATATAATTATTGCCCAATTTTTCTAATCTCGATTCTGCAGTGTTTGTCATGCTGGTATATAACTGTTTGAAGACCAACACAACTTATAAAGCCTTTGGGCTTTCAAGTGTGCTACCGTACAAACTGATAGATGTCGAAGAGCCAGTTTTTATGTCCACAAAAACAAAAGAACAGAGCAGAGATCCGTTTGCTCGATGGCTCCGGCGGCGGACCAGGTTGAAGTTAAGGATGCATCGTGGTCCGAGCCGCCAATATCCGGTAGAGTCGGTATGTTGGATACTTTACGCGTTTTTATATTTTGTTTAAACAATTTCCACTGTTCCGCACCTTCCTCACTCCTCCTATATCATTCCTCAACAGACTTCCGCTCACTATCATTAATCAATCATGGCACCTAGTCCTACCAAACGGCATACGATCTCGCATATGAACTCCACTAATTCACTAATCTCAAATCTTTCGATGATGTCGCTCGAGCAACAATGTGTCGGTAGCTCGTCTAATCCATCCAGACTACCTCCGATGGGTAGTAAAGCCAGCCCAATCAAGCCCTCTAGAAGTCATAGTCATCTTCGTGGGGCAAGCAAGACTCAAGCAACGGGATCAGCACATCCGCGTTTGGCTCGCCCCATGAGTCGGGATGACCTTATAGGCCGAGACGTGGTCAAGAGGGATTGGAGTACGTCTCCTACCAAAAAATCGTCTTCTTCTTCCACAGCCAATCGGAAGGTTAGTCTCTTGCTCTTGCACAATCAAGATTTCTTTCTGATCTTTGTTTCGTACTTTATCTGTATCTCACTAACTTTCCTTGTTATGTCGTCCCATCCGAACCCCAATCGCGCTGGCTTTCACCGCATTCGACAGGCGGCCAACGGAGATCGTTATATCGCGCGTGATGTCGACGGCGGTGCGTTAGATGTTAATTCACGCGACTATGGATCGTCCTCCGGCACGGATTCCACCTACAACAACAAGATATCCTCAGCTCTTGGGATCGATCTTAACGCACGTATCCTTACCTTCAGTGCCGAAGTCCCAGCGAGTTCTCGAGCGCCCAGATCGAGGGAAGATCTTAGTAGCAAAGACCGTACCAAGGCATCGGCACCCCGGCGACAGGTATCAACAATGCCAGAGCGAGTATTAGATGCACCTGGTTTAATCGATGATTATTATCTGAATCTTTGTGACTGGTCTGTTGATAACATCCTCGCCATCGCTCTTGGAGAGTGTCTCTACCTTTGGAATGCTCAGACTGGGAGCGTGAATATGTTATGTTCGCTGGATGAGACATCATATTACGCAAGTGTCAAGTTTTCAGAAGATGGACATTACCTTGCTTTGGGTACTTCAGACGGTGCTGTACAAATCTATGATATCGATGAAGCTCGACTTCTACGGAAGATGAGTGGGCGTGAAAGCCGGGTGGCAACCTTGTCCTGGAGTGGTACTACCTTGTCAGCCGGTGGGCTGGATGGTAGCATTTGGAATCACGATGTTCAAGCCGCTCAACACAAAGTATCCGAAATGATTGGCCATCGGGCTGAGGTATGTGGGCTAGCATGGAAACCGGATGCGGTAGATGGATTTACAACTGGATCACCTGGATTGTTGGCTAGTGGGGCAAATGATAATATTGTGAATGTTTGGGACGCGAGGAATTTAAGTGAGCCGAAGATGACCAAGAACAACCATCGCGCGGCCGTAAAGGCTATCGCGTGGTGTCCTTGGCAGAGTAACATGCTCGCAACAGGAGGTGGAACGTCTGATAAGGTATGATTACTAACACTTCAAAGTTGCCCCTCAGATTCTGTCAGCTGCTGACTTGCTTATAACATCTTGACCTTGTGGGAAACAGATGGTACATTTCTGGAACGTCAACACATCTTCGCGTCTTCAGAGTTTGGAAACTCGATCTCAAGTCACTTCGATTGTCTTCAACCCTTACGCAAGAGAGTTCTTGACAACTCATGGCCTTCCCGATATGCATTTTGCCATTCATACTTTCCCTAACTTTGGTGTTGTGGCTGATGTACCAAAGGCACACGACACTCGTATCCTTCATTCTGCTTTGAGTCCTGATGGATGTATCGTGGTGACAGCTAGCAGCGATGAAAACTTGAAATTTGTGAGTGGGTTCTATTCATAGTGTCTAGGAGTGCAAGTTTTAATCAAAGCATTCTGTTTCTTCACTGCTGTTACGATTCTAGTGGAGAGTATTCGAAAATAAGAAGGTCAAAGTGTCGCCCAATGCCCCCTTTGGGCGTGCTCATCCGTTAGGCACCAAGGACCAAAATCAAGAGGACCTCAAGAGTGCTTATTCAGTCCGTTGATGTTAAATTCAATCGGACCCATGTGATTAGTTTTTTCTGTCAAGGCGATTTTCTTTTTGGCCCGAGGTTTGCGTATCATCTACATGGAATAGGATGGTCTTTTTGGCTATAATTAGGAAATGTTTATCCGGATCTTTCAACTTCATTATTCAACAGCTATCGTTTGAATTTACAATGTATGGTGGTCGGTGATGTACTGGATCACTTGTATAATTGGTTAAAGGAGCCAAGTGTTTGTTTCTCTGTTTCTTAAGCATGTTTTGATTCTCCCGATTTGCTTTTTTGTTTCTTGCAATGGAACATCAATTTCTGTGCTACTGAGTAGATAATGCAATAGATGTGAGCACACTGAACATTACTTTCTTTGACATGATCCGGGTTGGGTTTTGTAAACAAGCAGCCTTGTGGTGTACAAAAAAGTGAAAATATTAGCGCACAAGCTTTCAAACTTACATAGCATATACAACATAGGCCGTGCTCTGAATTTTGAACTGGGACTTGGCCCTCGCCTTCTTGATTGACATGAAGTTAAGGCCCCCATTTAGTAGCGATTATTATTTATTGATATTTGCACAATCACAGGAAAATCATCACAAAATAAAGTTGGGTGTTTGGTAGCCCTACATTGTTGCACCAGTGCTAGAAAAAAAGTAAAACCCAAACAAATTATAATCATCTTTAGTTTAAATCTTAAAATTGATCAAAAAGTAAAACATTTCAACAAATTTCTGTTTTTTGATTTTGTTTTCTTTTTTTAAAAAATCAAAATATTCACCTTCTTTTTGCTTCTTTTCTTTTCCCTTCTTTTTGTATTTTCATTCTCACCCCCCCTCCCCCCAAAAAAGAACCATCAAAACCCCACATCTTTTGAGAACAACAAAAAAAACCAATTCAACCCAAGAATTCAACCCTTTGATGAAAGAAAAAAAAGTATCAAAATTAAAATTAAATTAATTATTTCAACCCAAAACCCACACACGCACCCACACACACACGCACAAGAGTTCATAAACAAAATCAAAATCAAAAATCAAAATCAAAAATCAAAATCATAAACAAAATCATAAACAAAATCAAAAATCAAAATCAAGAAATATATAAAGAAAATATATGTAAAAAAAACTTGAGGTTTATTTGGTATTTGTTTACACCAAACCTAATAATCATTTATTAACCATCTCTTCTCAAGAAGAAAAAAAGAAAACCCTTTTCAAAAGTAAACCCCGCAAGAAAAAAAAAACAAATATAAACAAAAATCTTTCATTTCACTTTATACTTTTTCTCCCCTCTCAAGATTCCCCCTTTCGAATCCATTTTTCATTTGTTTCCCAATCCGTTTTTTCCATTTACTCAAGTTCTAAGAGTATTAATTGACGAAAAATTCAAATGACTATTATTATTATTAGAAGTAGTAGAAGTGATAAGAGATCCATTGAGTGGTAAATAAACTTCATTCCCTTTCCCATCCAAATAAGAATACCTTGCATATCTTCCAACTTGATCATCTACCAGACCATGAGGTTTCCTACTGTTGCTACTACTAAAAGGAGTTGGGATCCTAGGTATCGGTTTCTTCATCTTTTCATTTCTTTGATCTATCTCATGATTAATCAAACCAGTTGATCTTCCCAAATACTTATAAATCATTTCATCCATTCCATTTCCATTTCCATTTCTTTCCTTTCTAGTTTTCTCAACTTCAAGTCCTCTTAAATGTTGATCAAGTGAAGTACGTGGTTTAAGCCAAGGTGAAGGATGAGAATGAGAATGAAGACTAGATTGATGAGATCCAAAGTAATGTGTAGGAATCAAGGGTGGTGTCACAAATGATTGAAATGATCCAGATCGAGATCTAGATCTAGATCTAAGATCTAAGAACGGTGGAATCGAATCCCTTAAATCCATAGATGACATTGGAGAATGATGTAAATAACTTTCATGATGATGATGATGATAGTTATAACCTGTTGGAGTTTTGCATTCGGTTCTCGAGCTCCGGTCTACAAGAGGTGCTTTATCATAAGAGGTGGGGGTACCACGTGGATCGGATTGAGCCTTCTCTTTCATCACCACATGTAAAGGAAGAACCGGACGAGACGGTACAGAAAGCTTAGAGTTGATCGATGTCGGTCCTGAGGTCTCTCTTATCGAAGGAGAATCCGAACGAGATAAAGAGACATGATGTGTACTAATATGAGCCTGAGAAGCTTGTCCTGGCCAATCGTATCCTCGAAGTACATCTGCTTCTTCAGTCGCCACCGTGGTGATCCTTCGACGTCCAAGTTGAGATAACTTTTGATAAACCAAACTTCCATCCTTTTCTTCTTCCTCTGATCTTCTTCGTGTTTCAAAACTAACAAGTGTACCTTTACCCGGCACATATCGTACTTCTGCTCGATTCTCAACAAAAAAAGGCATCCCAAGAATACACTATGAGAAGACGAGAAGAAGTAAGTAAATCGTCTCAATGATAACTCTTGTGAAAACACTCACATCACTCTGTCCAGTTGGACCGACGACAAACCTAGCTCTACAAAACGATCGACCATCAGGAGTGACCATGACGACACCCAATCCATCTGTACCTTCACAAACCCCTTCACAAAGACTAGCACCTGTAACACCCATGACTGTACCAGGTGCAGAACGCATGACTAACCCAAGTCGATCTCGTACGACAGTTGACATCAAGTTTAACATACTACCCGTATCACATAAGAACTTTACTGGTTTCGAATCAATGTTCAGGGTGATATAAGGTAAGGAGACGATTGTGGGAGTTAGGGTGTTGGTACTGTTGCGTCTGGTTGTGGGGTTACCAGTGGATCTTGATCCAGGTCGAGCAATCGCAGGACTTGGGGGTCTAGAAGCCTATAGGAAGATACCATCACCAGATTAGATTAGTCTGGATCACATTCATGGGGCTTTTGATGAAGAGAAGAACACTTACTGTTTTTTGAGTAGTACTCGATCGCATCAACTTTGCAGGTAAAGGCGGAGGTGGTGGTGGCGTAGGTGGTTTGGGAGGTGGGACAGGAAGCGTCGAGGCCAAAGGAGCCGATTCAGATGAAAGAGTAGTAGGATGACGTGAAGGGGTATCAGATTGACGAGTACTAGAACGAGTTTTTGAAGTGGAACGAGTCGAAGAAAGAGGATCATTAGGTCGAGTACTTGGAACAGTAGATGGACTAGGACGACGTGAAGGAGTTCGAGTGGAAGATGCTTGATGATGACGACTTGGCCGAGTTTGAGTAGGAGGTTGGATTGGATAATCAGGTAAGAGTTCCACAATCGGAGAAGCTGGTTTAGAAACTGGTAAATTTGAAGTTTGAGTACGAATCCGATCACGACCATGATCGCTAGAAGGATGATGAGTGGTCGTAGGAGTACTTGGAGTTGATTTTTGATTTGGATTGGGAGTTGGAGGTCGAGTGGAAGTAGGAGTGATTTGTGAATCTGTTTTCGACTGTTTTCCAGAACTGATCAGAGTTCGTTCAGAAGTATCCTTGAGATTGAAAGTAGTTGGTTGACGAGAATCCGATGAAGTCGAATCGAGTGAAGGAGCTGAAGATGGTTTAGATGGATCAGGACTGATGGAAAGTGATTTAGGAGAAGTGAGAGTTGGACCTGAATGATTTCTAGTGAGAATGGGTCTGGTTGGATGGTCATGATGATGTTGATTTGATTTGTTAGTTGGTTTCTGAAGTAAAGCTGATTTCTTCAAGATGATTGGTTTACTATTCTGTTCGATCAAACTCAAATTAGAATTCGTAATTTAAAAAAACCATAAAATCAAAACCAGCTAGACACCACTCACATTCAAGTTCAAGTGATTGGTGGTTGACTTTAAATTACCACCAAGCAAAGTTGTAGTACCAGTAGTCCCACCACTCGATTTCTTAATTTCTTTCTTAGCTAATTCTAATGCCATCTTAGCTACTGCTGCTCTGGCTCTTGGATCCATTAAATCTTGAACTGATAATGATTCACCTTTTTCTAATTCTCCCCATCCTGAATCTTTTGAAAGTACAATCTCACCTGATCTTAAACTACTCAAGATCTTGGCTACATATCGTGGTACAGCTGTTCTTAAATTATCGGGGGTGTTGATGGATGTCGTTAAATGAACAAAAGGTAAGATCGGAGTTGAAATCGGAGTATTGGAATTGGAACTCATGATGGGTCTTGGTGGAAATGGATGAATGATTGGTTTGATGGATTGAGTTGATCTTGATCTTGAGGAATTTTAGTTTGATAAAGAAATCAGATCATGAGGATAGAGATAGAGAAAAGGGTGAGGGTATCAAATAAATACTAAAACTCAAACACAAGAAAAGAAACGAAAAAAGAAAAAAAGATAATCGGAAACTGACAGAATGAATCATATGTACACAGTCTGTCCACTGACTCTTTTAATCCATCAAACAGCAAAGGGCAAACTCAAATTCAAAATACAATCCAAACAAACTCACCATCAAACTCAATTGAATTCTCCTCATTCTCTCTTTCTCTCTCTCTCTCCAAGTCAAAAACTCAAACCTTCCTCATCAAAAACAAACAGCAAAAAAGAATTCACTCCAGCTGACACTGACACTGACACTGACAAATTCCATAAACTAAAATCTCCAAACTTGAATTCGATCTAATAATCGGTGAATTTCTTCATCATACGATCTCAATACTAACACAAACTTCCAGACTTCCAGACAATGAGGATGTAATGCTTATAACTTATAATTGCGAGACACAGGATACACCAACAATGAGATTATGTAAACCAAACTTCTAAAAAAAAGATTTAAAATACAATGCAAATCGAAAACCTTTTTATATAAAAAAGTAGACTTTAAGAAAAAAATGATGAAATATAAAAAAAGACTTTTAGAAAAACAAAAAGTCATAGTTTCTGATCTCTTAACTCTCTAAGCAAAAAGGATAAACTTTCTATACCTACCCAAATGAGTAGAAAGAAACAAATCAAGTAAGAGCTATCCCAAAGGAATTCATAAAAACAAAACAAATTGAAATTCAAATCAATGGTTCACACAAGTTCAAAAACGAATATAAAAAAGAAAGAAACGATTTCTAGAATAAGTATATTTCTTTTTTCACAGAGATGATGATGATGATGATCAACCGAAGAAAAAAATCTCTCTTACAATAAGCAGGACCACCACCTCCTTCAGGTACAGTCCAATTAATATCTTGAGTCGGGACTTTAATATCACAAGTCTTACACTACATTCGATTCACCCATCAACATCAATTTCAACTTTCACTTAAACCTTTCCCCTGAATCACTTAACGAAAAAAAGTCAACTTACATGAATACAATTCTGAGAATTAATCACCAATCGTTTCCCATCGACTTGTTGATCGTCACCCCCCGAAATCTGACCATCTACATCTACATCCACATACTCATAAACTCCAGCCGGACAAGCTTTGTTAAGTAACCCATCGTAGTCTTGAACATTCACTTGAGTATGTTCTTTAAACTTTCCATCTTTGACAACTAGATGAACCGGTTGATTTTCGGCATGGTTCGTACCGGTTCTTGAAACAGAGGTTAGGATATCAAATGAGATTTGATGATCTGGTGATGGATATTCGATTGGGACCACTTCACTTTATAAACCAAACAAAAAAGTACGAAAAGATTGATCAATTAAAGAATCTTAGAGTCAAAGCACAAGTTTCAATTCACCTGATTTTCTTGGTAGATGCATAATCTTCTTTTGGATGATGAAATGTCCAAGGTACTCTACCTTTAAGTAAGAAACTATCTAGACCAGAATACAAGATCCCACCATACAAACCTAAACTAGTATGAAAAGAAGGACGTAAGTTTCGAACTTGTTTTAATTCTTTCATCACCCAAGACTCTTCTAGGAGTTTAGGATATTCAATTAAATCGATCGGTTGGTTTGATTCTGAAGCAGATTGGGTTTGAATGGCATCAAAGGTAGCTTGAGCGGCTAACATGCCAGATTTCATGGCTGTATGAGTTCCTTTGATCTTAGGTACGTTTAAGAATCCTGCGCTACATCCGATCAAGGCTCCACCTGGAAAATTCAGTTTTGGAATCGATTGATATCCTCCTTCGTTTAAAGCTCTTGCTCCATATGCTATACATTCGGCTCCTTTTAAAATTCTTGAAAAGAATGGATGATGTTTAAGACGCTAGAGAAAAAAACCCATACAAGAATTAATTTTGGTTGAGATGAGAAAAACTTTAAGCGAATTGAATTTTTGAAAAAGAAAGGTGTGGTGAAACTTACTTGAAATTCTTGGTATGGTGATAAAGTTGGATTTGGATAATCAAGTCCGACCACCATTCCAATAGAAATCATATTATCTTCCATATGATAAAGCCAAGAACCACCATAGGTATCTTTCTTTAAAGGCCAACCTAAGGTATGAACCACTTTACCAGGTTCATAAACATCATCTTGAATCTTCCAAACTTCTTTAATCCCAAGTCCATAAGTTTGAGGATCTTTATCTTTTCTTAAATCGAATTGTTGAATGACTTTTTTAGTTAATGATCCATGACATCCTTCGGCTAAAAGAGTGATTTTAGAATAAAATTTCATTCCAGCTTCAAATGATTCTTTAGGTTGACGATGTCGATCTAATCCGATTTCATTGGTAATCACACCTTTGATCGATTGATGATCATCATCATAAATTAATTCAGATCCAGCAAATCCAGAATAAATTTCTACACCTAATTCTTCGGCTTGTTCAGATAACCAACGACAAAGTTTAGAAAGTGAAATGATATAATTTCCATGATTGTTCATTTGAGGTGGATGAGGAATTGGGAAAGCCATAGATTTGGTTAAGAATTTCATGGAATCTGAACTTGCTAATTGGTTTAAAGGTGCACCTGTTTCTTTCCAATTTGGTAAAAGTTCATCTAAGGCTTTGGTTTCGATCACTGCACCTGATAAGATATGAGATCCGATCTCAGATCCTTTTTCTAAGACGATCACTCTAAAATCAGGTTTGTTTTGAGAATTAGCTATCTGTTTTAATTTAATTGCTGCTGATAATCCAGCTGGTCCTCCTCCTACGATACATACATCTACTTCATCTGAAACTCTTTCGATGGTGTTTAAATCAAATTTCGATTCATCTTTCGAATTGATAGGTGTAGGTTTTGATTGGTTGATGGTGGTTGAGGAAAACGCTCGAGTGGTTAAGAAGACGCTTGTACTGAAAGAACTGGTTGAATGCTTCAGACTGGCTGGTGGTATACTACGACATCGAAGACTACGTGATAAGATCGATTGATGTGCTTGTATAACACGACCACGAAGGAGAGCCATAGTGAGTGTGATTGTGTAAAATGATGATGAAGTAGAAGGAGAGCAGATCGGATTGTATATGGTTGAGTGGTGAGTGGTAAAATGAAATGAAATGGTCAAACTGGTCGAAATTCCAGATTACCAAATTCAATTGGATTAATATGGTGGCCTCGAGGCAAAATCACCGCCACCCCTTTCTGTAGTTTGGTGTTTCGTGATTTGTGATTTGTGATGTGTGATTCCGTCAAACTCATCATGCATCACCAACACGTAGCTCTTCACACCACCTCATGACCCACCCGGTGGACTCTTTGGATGCTGTTGTACATTATCGATTGCTTGTAATTTGAGAGAAACGTAGTTCGCACCTCGATTCACGCCAGGGATGCGTTCTTTAGAACCCCCTGGCCTTTTATGCAATGATACGCCTTTTGTGAGCCCATTGTATCCCTGAATCGCGTGGTTGTGGTCAAGGTAGCATTTGAACTTCAATCTCGCCATTCTCTCAAAATCCTTCTCGCGAACTATCCGCTATCGATCTTCTCAATGGCTTCTCAACCACCTTGTCCTGACTGCGGACGTACCTTCCCGCTAAGACCCTCAACCGAACCAAACTGTCGCCGTTGTCAATGGCGAGAACAGAATGGATCTGTCTGTGACCAACCTTTCTGCCAATTATGTGGCATAGTTTTCAAATATCTCGAGGGAAATCATTGTGGCAGCTGTGCAAGCAACCCTCTTGCGCTGGCTTCACAAAACTCTCAGAACACGGCATCTTCAATACCGCATCAGCAAAATCATGGACAGCCATTGATTCATACTGTCATTCCTACTACAGCAAACCCCAATGACCTTCCATCTCACCTGTTCTCCCCAAACCCTTTGGCCACATCTTTATCTGCACCAGTCCACCAATCATCCAGCTTTTCAACAAATAATCAAGCTGAAGAACTCGCACGTCTCTTAACCTCGAAGAATAGAACCAACTGGCCAAAGCCTCCCATTACCAAAGCTGTCCTTCAACCACCAAAACCTTCTCAGGCTTCAGAAAAGCAAAAGCCGAAACGTGAAGGGAAAATTAAGATGATGCTTTGTTACCTGAAGAGTATGAGAAAAACACGACATCCCCTCGAGCCAAAGATGTGTAAGGTCAATCTAGATGATCCCCATTGGTATATAAATCTTTACCTTGAAGCTTGGCTATGGTTTCGTGACACGGCCGAAAAGCTCAACTGGCCTCCGCACGACAAGCAATTTGGCAAGGATAAGTTAGTCCCTTTACCTTGTTGGGACGACCGCTACTGCCAGATTGTCAATAATGGCTGCCTCATTGAAAAGGATGATCTCGAAATTCAGATCATAGATGCTCTGAAGAAACCAAGCGGTCTTGCATCATTGAAATCCATGGGGATCTCATTCAGTTGGGATAAGTACCAACTCACTATCCCTCAGTCCCCCCTTCCCGAGTCCGATGAAGACAAACAAGATATCACTGAACGACCCACCACCAGGAACAGTACCAAAAGATCAAGATTGGATTCATCAGATGATGAATCTTCCATCGAAGAATCTGATGCTTCAGAAAAAGAGGTAGTAGTAGTCAAACAAAAGAAGAAACAGAAGGTCGATGCGAACTTTCATCAAATCAAGCAACTCGAACCTGCTATCAAAATTCCAACACAAAGGATTAAAGTGAAGCTTGGGCCTCCCCCAAAACCTCACCCCGATGAAAAATCTATTACCGCTTCTGGTTTTACCAAGGAGGAAATCGAGGACATTGAAACCGATGAGCTCAAATCCAATGTGAGTTCTCATATACCCAACTGAATTGATTATTGTGAACCTTTCTGAACTCAACTCCAACCCGACTGAATACAAGATCTATGACGCCACAAATGAGGCCCATCATCAAAACCAAACCTTTCACAAAGAAACCGAGCTTGATCATGATAAAAACAAGCGTGATCACAATCAAACCAAAACTGACGAGAACGATGACAAGACTGATCACAATGAAAACGAGACCAATCACCGGTTAGAACCACCCCAATCTCAATTCAAGTTGAAGGGTAAGTGTATCCCTAGAGTAACTCGAGTCATTTTGACACCATATTGAATGGTCGTTGTGCTCATATTCAGGTATCGAGCAGTACACGCAAACCGAACCTGAAGACCCTCTAAGCTCCCAAGAACGTTCACCCAGTGGAGATGCTAGGCTTTTAGACCTTGATATCACGGCCAACCTCGCCACTCGGTTAGAATTAAACCAATGTGAGGCTATGATTTCAATCGGGCAATCTCAGTATTGATTTGACCGTTGTAGTATTTAAAGCTCAACAAGAGCTTTACAACACCTAAGAAGGGATAATCTACTACGTGTAATATAGTAGAAGTTGCCTAAAGACTGCCTTCTTCAAAGAAACCAGCACAAGGGCACTTGCTGACCACTTTGTGATAACAGAGAAAAGGATAAAAGGCACCAGAGAAATAAAGCAATACTGTTGTTAAGTATTATTCCCAGATTTTAAGCGCAAAAAAGTCACACACTATGTTTATTACTAGCAATACTGTTGTAAGTATTATTCCCAATTAGACTTGTAGTCTTTAACACACGTAAATAAATTTCTCCTTGCTTTTGAAGGGGCGGATTTAAGTGATCTTAGTACAAATATAGTAAATAAATGATGATTTATAACACTACAACAAAGGTATAAGATGCAGAAAAGGGCGCTACAATCCCAAAATCATCAAGGAGTACTTATATCCACATGTAACAATCTTTACAACAGTCAACAGCCTCAAAAACCAATCAAATCCGCCTAAATAACCCTAAAAACCATGTAATGACGCAATGTAATGATCTTGTTACTAATGTATGATGTAATTTTCACAGCCAAAAGTGATCAATGACGCAATGATGTAATGTACAGCACTTCTTAAGATGAATACAGGTGATTTTTTCCTTGTAGACTAGCTGAAACCCAATTTTTGAGATTACGAATTTTTTCAGATGTGCTCCAATTTTTGATTACTAAAGTGCATCTTGTAGCCCACGTGTTACTGATCATTTCTGACACCTATAAGACCTACTTCTGATGAGTGATGAGTAAGATATTGAGTTGTGAAGTTAAGGTTTTTGGTGTTACATGTGTCTTGTGACTGTAAATTCAAGATTCACACCAATTTCTTATTTCCCTTATAACTTTTTACATACACCTCCGTTACTAATGATTCAAAGGTTGTACATTATGTAATCCACTCTTCTGCGTTGAATGAGCCATCTACCAACTTATTCTGACGTCATTTGACATATGTAATTAGCTGAAAACCTCCATTTTCGACGATTTTCACCTATTTTCTTCACTTTTCACAGCTGCTACTCCCTTTTCCTTGCTCATGTAATATGAAATCATCTTCTATAACCTTAAAAATCCCGGAAAATCCTCTTGGCAACCTTAAATTCCATCACTACCACCATTACATATGTAAACTACACGCCTAACCCTTGTTTACCAACTTCGAAAAAGTACCTTTCTGCTAATAACCTCTGTTTCCCCTTATCAACCTTGAATATTAAAATTGTTCCTGTATATTAAACTGTTGTTCTTTCATATTCTAACCTTATAAAACCCATAACTTAATTATAAATAAGCTAAAAACCATTTTCCAACTTTTACACCCATATTTTTGAATTTTTCTTATCTTTTCTTTTTCTGTCTTTTTGTAATAACTTTGTAAGTAAACTATGTTGATCTTAATAATAATTTTGAAATAAGATGACATAATAATGAGCTAATAAGTATACATAAGCCTCTAAGAGCTTCAATTGATCTGAAAACCTGAATTTCGAATTCTCTGCTATATTGAAGTTTGCTAATAAACTGGTAAAGTAAAGATGATTAATTTTTTTTGCTTAATATCATAAATAGATCACCACACCGTACTAATCCACAGTCAATATCAATCTACAGCAACCCAGTTCGGAAATACACATAACCTCGCTCGCCGAGCAATGGACATTCTCCCATATCCTCCTCGCCAAACCTTGAGTTGGAACGAAGGATGGCTTCTCTCACTCATTACACAGGACAAGGAGGCAGTGTACAGCCCGGTACCCATTTCCTACCGAGTAGATCTATCGGCTTTGATTGGAGTTGGCCGCAACATGAAGTGCTTCAAGGCCGAGTTACTCCTTGACAATCAAGTACATCATGTTGTAGCAAAACACGCTATTGCCAAAGAAAGTTCTTTGATGGACTATCAGCGTCATGCGCAGTCATATGTACATGCCGAGGCTGCAATCGAGTCCTTCAAGGCCAAGGTTTTGTCTTACCCAAATTTTACAGCTCTTGACAAGGAGTTGGTCAAACAGTTAAGAGTACGTCTCCTCTCTAATCATTCATCTGAATCAATTCATGTGGTACTCACTTCTGATTGATGCCTTTTGATAAATGCAAATATGCAACTTTGACCACACAGATCGCCAAGTGCTGGGTTGTTCAGAGAGTGGGAAGCAAAGCCCAATTGGAAGATACCACCGAGTCTGAATTCTGGCTATTTGAAGAAAAACTGGATGGCAAATTTGTGAAGTATATGAGCAATGACAACTTTAACAACAAGCACCCTCGCACTCCAATATACCAAATGCTCCACGCTCTCGCGCATTTTGACCTTCAAGAAAACCGCGGCAGATCTTTCATATGTGACCTGCAAGGCGTTGGTGCGACTCTTACTGACCCCGCAGTAACTGATCTCGAGTGAGCATACCTCTCTATCTCACTTTGAATGTAATTTTGACACCCGATTTATTTCTATCCACAGTAAAAGCTTTAGCAGCGGCAACTTGCATTATGAAGGCCTCCGCTTGATGATAGATCAGCATCGAGACAATCGATGGTGTAGAAATTTGGGACTTGACGAAATGGACAAGTTTAAACCCCAGCTCAAAATATTGTGAGGAGCTCAGGGTCCTTTTCAATTAAGTCGGGGTCTATCAAATACATCAAAAAACGATCTCGTTCACCTTTACATTTTTCATGTTCTCTCGGTCTTTCTTTCTTCAACTATTATCGATCAGATCGAGTCATCATCATCGACCAATCAGATCGGAATATAAATTACACTACTTCATCATCACAATCTAATCATCGATTCCACTAATATTATCATCCTGATCCGAGCTTGATTTGCTCAACCTGACCTCAACATCACCACCTCAGCATACTCATCCTTGTGGTTCACCTCCCTTCTCTAGGAACCTCGCCAAAATAAGAAAATCGAAATTCACCCCGAGTCTATCAGAGTTATCCGAAATCGACCGAATCAGATCCCAACCTAAACCTATTAGTCGCGATCAGACATTCTCACTTTTGAGAATGTCTGATCGACTCAGCTTCGATCCTGATTACAATAACAAAACTCTTCAGTCGTTGTTCCTACTTCCTACACCTCAATCTTCAAATTCAATCTCAAATGGAAAATCTCCTATTGTTTACCCTGCTTTACAAAGTCAAGCTGCAGTCACCTTTGGATCTCAAACAGTCCTATATATCAGAACGTACCAGAATGTTGAGCAGCAGTTACTAAAATTGCTTGTATCATTAGATTCAGAATCATTTGATATGGGTTGCAATTAATTAGAAGGAATCTCAAACAACTTGATATAATTGCTTGTGATTGGAACTATACTTCTATGATTGATAGATACAATTAAACTGGAGATTTTTGAACAGGAAATGATGGTTCAAAACCAAATCTTAGAGATACAGTATTTGAATTCACCTGATCTAATATCATAATTTATGTTGTTCAATTCCCGTCCGGTAGATAAATTAGTAATTGGATTCATTTTGAAAATATTTATCACTTTTGACAGTCATTTCTTTGTGAGTTGTGTTTTTGAGGATCAATGATATTCAAGGGTGCAAGGAAATTCAGTATTGCAAAGCTTCCTAACCCTTGTATGCAGCAATCTTTTACTAAATACATATATATTCATCTCTATATATTTGGACAAATATGTTGAAAATCTAGGAATGGTTCTATTTGATAAAATTACTGAATACATATATATTCATCTCTATATATTTGGACAAATATGTTGAAAATCTAGGACTAGGAATGGTTCTATTTGATAACATGAGCCAACAAGCACAAACAACAATTTGCTTTCTCATCTACATATAAGCAACATAGCTGATGATAAATCACTACTCATATGGATTGAATTGAAGATGAGAGAGCAATCCCAGAACACGGGTGAATACAACCCACACATTTTCTAAATTGATGGAATCTTCATGATAACCCAATCTTGATATAAAGTTTGACACCTGCCATCCAAAAATGGGAGCTGACACCCGCTTTAGCTCCTCTGAATCAGGGTATTTGGTGGCAATAAGGTTGTCAATAATATCTCTTGAAACAGGATTCAAACCCTGGCTACCACCGTAGTTGGTGGGAGAATAGTAGCATGTGTCAGGCGAAACACCGGTGGGAAGTCGGGACTCATGATTCTTTCGTGTTCGGTATGTGTTTTTACGCTTCACAAAAGAATCCATTGCATGTTGAACCAGAGGCACCCATAAATGAAGAAATAGGGCCCTAGGATTACATCTTGTCAGTTACGGTCAATGCAAAACAAAAAATATTACCCAAAAACAACATACTTTTGAACTGGATTGGAAGGATTGTATACCCCTTCACGGATCTTTGCATTGATCTCATCCCTGAGCACTGTGTTTTTAGCACGCATCAACTGAGACCACAATGACTCTATCTTCTGATTATGCTGTGAGGTCGTGAATAGATGATGCTTATGTGCTTTTTCGAGTGGCTTGCCACAGAAATAGTGATGCATGAGGGTTTGGAAAGTAGCCATCTCAACTGTCTCACTACCATGGTCAGTCGATGTCCTATCTGGGAATCCTCCTATGTCTCGAACAAGCTCTAAGTACTGCAATCCAATTCTACGGGGATCGTTGTTGCTTGTTGCAACATACAAGCTGAGAACTTTGCGAGACCAAGCGTCAATGAAACCATAGATTGTAATACCAAAAGGCTTAAGTTTATCGTGTCCGTCACTTGCCCACAGATGATTGGGCCCTGGTACATAGAAAAGGCGTCTTTTGAGCTTCCCTGCAGTTCGTAAGGCTACTCCATTTGGATCAATGATCTTAACTAGTCGCCGGACTGTCTCTTGATGAATCCGAAGGCTGTCGTCTACAGCAAGATGCTGTTGCATAGTTTGGTAACCTGCATTCCGATCTTCTCCTTCTATGTGCTCAAGAAGAATATTAACTAGGTGTGCTGGTGTCACTCGACCTTCTTGGATGTCATCTCTGCGCCAGTTGAGACCCATTTCTTTTGACATTTGATTGATATTGTGCATGTTGATGGGAATGTCATATGTGTCATTGATTGCACACAGGGCAATGATTTTGGTGTCACCAAGAGTATAATGACGTCTTAAGATGCCATAAGCAACATCCTTTTGAGCTGGGGTCATTGATGGTGAGTTTGTTAAGTTGTGCTGGGCTAGGTACCGCTGGAGACTTCTCTTTGACATTGGGATACCAATATTGTGAAGGGCATCTACCATGCTATCTTGTGACATTCTCTGGTGGCAATATTCAGGAAGAAGATGTTCAAGGAGATGTTTTTGGTGCGGGGTGAGAATGTGAGGCCTTCTAATTTCATCTTCATATTGATCCATGATATTGAGAGTATTGCAAGCCAGGTAGATATAGATAACTTTGGGATAGTAATTCCTTCAAAATATTTGAAGGTGTTAAAGTAAAATAGATAGATATGTGGTTGATTAAGTGAGTTCTTTATTAATTAAATTGTCTACTGCAGCATTGAGAAACACGAGTTTTTTATTGGAAGTGTTGTAGATAAGTTGTTAATTTCAATGTAAATAGTCAATTCTGTGTTGTAGTTGCTCTTGACTTCAGACTGGGAGAATGAGTTTTTTATGATCCAGAGCTCTTTATTTATAAGACAGCCACTAGCAGCTTAATGCTGCCTGTTTGACAGCTAGCTAGCCCTCGCGCGCTCGAGTTTCTGTTCTGATAGTACAAGTGTGGGTTTGCTCTGTGTACCTCTAACTAACACCACAGACTCCTGACTAGACTATGAACTGCACTCTAATTTGGATTGATCCACCGTTTTGAATTCAATGGCTTGGATATTTTTAATGATCCAAATATTGTGAGCGAGAACAGAAAGCGGGTTGCATGCACCCCAATGGTAAACATAAACATGATGTTGATTTATCGCTAGATTAGAGTGTTCTATCTGGATCTCCTGAGGTTTTGAAACAAACGGCTTGGATAGCTCATGTTTCCAAACGTTTTCAGTGTAAATGACACTGTTCAAACGTGCTACGATCTAAAGCAAGCGCGATTGGTATCGATCATGGTCGTCGATATGAGTTGATCATATGCGATAACCGATGCATACGCGTCGATGTATGAGGTGAACCGTTACAAATTGTACAAACCACAAACCACGAAACACGAAACACGAAACGTCAAGTTACAGAAAGGGGTGGCGGCGATTTTGCCTCAGGGCCACCGTAGATTAAACCTCAAGTCTTGAATTTCTGCTCAAAGTCACATACGAAGGTTTAATCTGCGCAACTCCACTTCTGCTCAAATGTAATCCAGATGAACTCATACTTCTCACAACCATCCACCCACAGCAGGCATCAACACTCTTTCAATATCATATTCCCTCCTCAATGATCAAAGGAACACTCTATACCCTCTTTTTCCAAAACAATTCGGAAAAACACTCACCTGCGCGTGCAAAAGGTCACTCAGTTAAGCACGGGTGTGCATTGGGTTTTACCAACAACTGGATTTTGTAGAGTTCATAGGGATCGAATGCAAATTCCAGTTTTTCGCGGTGCTGGGACGTACCGCTGAATCATAAAAAATGTGTCAGACTGTCGTTTGTACACACTTCTCTGGAGATACTCTTTAGGATATGTATGTACATTCTCTTTCTTATTTTGAAAGAAGTCAAATTCATCATCATTGGTCTTGATGAGATTTAGGAATCCAATTTGGTTTGTTAAGAATTCCATATTGGTAGTGGAAAACTTGACTTATTGTTCTTGAAAATCATCTTCTTACCAATCCATTGTCAACAAGAAATAAATATGTAAGATCTTATCTAATCTAAGCTCAAATATAATGTATATATTGTATCGGTCAATCTAACTTATATATGCAGTAGAAAGTCACTGAGAGTGGTGATGAATGTGTTGAGCTTTTGTCATTTTGAAATTGCTCAGTGATCTTGTTGTTTACATGGACCGTCTTTAATTCCTGTTGAATCATTAGAAAATTCCTGTGATGTGCTAGTTTGAAATCGATAGAAAAGTTTGAATAGCTAAATATCACCAATGAAAGTTTTACTCTTGTCATTTGATCACTCGAAACCTGTCATATATCGATCTCGAAAGTTTGTATGACCGAGCATTCCCTTGAAAGTTTGACTCTGTGGTTTGACAGATAAAGGATCGGATACCTTCTGCATAGTGATCAACTATCAATAAAGAAAAAGTAAAAATGAAAGATAAACATCAGTCATGAACCAAAGAAACCTTTGATCGTGATGATTGAAATTCAAAGAAACGTAGTTCTGTCTGGCTAGAACTACGCTTCGTCTGTCTTAAATCCTAAAATTAATCAATTCACTCACTCGTCTTTGCCATTTTCCAAAATCTTGACACGAGTTTGCCACTAATTCCATTCCATGGATTTGTGGTACGTCACATGCTTTATAATCCTCAGTGACAGTTGGTAGCCAATATACCTTTAAAACATCAACAACAAAGCATTCAATAGTACCATACAGATTGAGGATTATCAGACTATAGCAGAGAGGTTTGATCAGAGTGGATGGTTACATACTAATCTTCCATTTGGTTTTAGCATTCGTAATGAGAATTCAAGTAAACCTTCCAAGACTTCACTCATCTCCCAAGGTCGTGAAGGTGGAATATAATCTGATTTCCTATCATCGATTTCACCCACAACAAAAAAACTTTGGGTATGATCTATCGGAGACGAGAAATGGAATGAACTCAACTCGTGTGACCATGTTCCATCTGGAAGCATATATGGCTCATCCCTTAGCTTTGAGTTATCTTTTCTTCCAAGTCGTTTGGCACCTGCTCTCACGCCATATCTAGCGTTGGAAAATGAAGACGGGTGATCAACAAAATATACATCATCACATGACAAATCGATGCATTACTCACGGCGCTGTTAGACGGTCATGACGATTCATAGTAGAATACATATCAAGTTGATTGTGGACTTTGGTCAGAATCTCAAACACTTTCACCAAATGATGAAACCCAGCAGATGATATTCTAAAACAAAATGCTCACGATCGCAAAGAATTGCATCGAAAAAGCCATCTGTGCGCCATGGATGTTGCTTTGGTATTGCGAATGTTTACAGTGAAAGAGAATTCAAACCTCAGCTTTGCTTTGCTTTGCTTTGCTATAAAAAACAACGTATACCGAGTGAGATTATATGACTCACCGTCATATCAAAGATCGCCTTTGAGGCATATAAATTAACCCGAACCCAAATTCAAAAGTCAGTCAATTGCGGCTGCCACATGGTTAGTAGACCACATAGAGCTATTTGGGTTTTGAGCGCGTTGATGAAGATGCTATTTTAGTGGAATGAGCTCACAAAGTCTAAGAGTTTATCAGTAACACCGTATTGGGCTGCACTATCACGGATACACCGCTCTATAGATACGAACAAACCAGATAACAGTAAAAAAACGCAAAAAAAAATCGTCAAGTCAAAGCTTATATCCACTTGTAATCCTAGACATGATCCACATGGTTTATATTGTATCGAATATTTCTCATCATTCATTACCTTTTCCTCTGATAGGTCTCCCATCAATATCGCTTCCAAAGACGAATGCTCCAAACCACGCTGCGGCGTATAACATTGATCCCGTACCAGTGAAGGGGTCAGTCACAAAACTGGAGTCACGCACAAGTCCTTGATTGGCCATCTAGAAAAGTAGGTAAATTGATGAAATCTGTCAGATTTGGTTTAAGCAAGATGAGACAAAGAGGATGAGAATGGTACCAATAATGATAAACCTGCTTCCATGGATGTATTACCGATATATCTACCAAAAAGCAAACAAGAATTCAGTTAGTTTTAAAAGAGTTTAGAAAAATCTCAACATTTAGCCATCATACTCACGCTCGTTTTTTAAGATCAAATCGATCTACTAAACTTCTTTGACCATCACACAACTTTTCTCCAAGCCATACCCTTCGAAGTTGAATGTTAGTCATTCGTCCTAACCGATCTGCTGGTGTACACTTTTCATCTCCTTCTACTTGGTCTGCACTATGATGTTCTTCACTGATCATGATTTCGACGTCAGGTTGATTGAGTTGAATGGGTCCTTTAAAGTCCATGTACGATAATGACTCGATGATCTCGCTCTTTCGGGCCTGTGTAAGCGTAGACTTGAAGCTTGTGACAGTGATTTTGAATGAGGCACTTTCTACATAGCCATCCTGTCATTTCGTAACTCGAAAGTAGTCAGTTATCTTGTCAAAACTTGTCCTAAGCTACACCAAGACCCACTAAGCCACATGGGGCCGGAAGTAGTGTAGAACTCCGCGTACAGAGAAAGCTATAGTATGCTCACCCAGAACGAATGATTGGCCTTGTTCATATTATGCAGGTCATCGTACGAGGCGGCTGATATCATTCATAAAAGCTTTTCAATGGATCTTATCCCCATGTTGGTGAAGGAGAGGGTGGGCATACCATCAGCCCAATGTTTAAGGACGTGTTTTACCAAAATTGCCCTCGATCCCAAATCACGAGCTTTTTGATCGTTAGTCATCGTTACGACCATATATGGCCTCTGTAAGGATGATCGAGGTATATGCCGGGATATGTGGTACATCGCCAGATGTTTTGAGTCGATTTTGCATTGAAGTCATTTGATGAAAGAAGAAGACGAAGCAGGTTGAGGTAAGTGACATAACCCTCCATTCTGGAAAAGATAAAATCACATATATTATTATGAGCTTCCGTACAAATATGTCACACTCCGATTCCTCATATTCTAATCCAAGATCCAATAATTGATTCAAAGAGTCCAATTCAGGCATTCGAAATTCCTCATGAGCTATCGTCATGTTTTTTATCATCGTCGTCGTTTAACACGTGCGTGGAGAAAATTTTGATTGATGATAAGTAATCAGGCTAGTTCAGAAACAGATTCGAAGATGAGATTTTATGATCATCGTCATGGGACGGAATTTATCGTCTTTAACCACATTAATATGCACGTGTATCCAGTGAGCCATAAGAGCAGAAATCGCTCCGATGATGGAGGTCAAGGCGCTATGACAATCATTTAATTACTCGGAAGCAGAGAGCATTCAAGAAAATATAATAAGATTCACCTTGAGCAAAGATGAGTATATATTTTGGTTTGCACATTCTGGTATGATAGCTTCAGACTGCGATGAAGGAATTAAATATCCTTGGTTGACTGGTTATCACGAAGACGCGTTCAGGTTCCGGAGCGTATCAAAAATAATTTGATGGCAGGTTGTCGGGATTTTTCAGAGTCAAGTTGTTGAGGTCATGCAAAATTTCATGCGTGATCCGGATTCCGATGGAGACCCGATGTAGGTCCGGAACCTCATGGCCCTTGTGGCGCGCCGCAGTGCAGCTCAGAGACATGCGCGTTTACAAATAAGGAGCGCGCATCCGGGGCGCTTTTCAGGATCGCACGACCTTTGTTGACCAGCAAATCACATGGAATTAGTCCTTGGTTGGAAAAAAGAATGATAGATTACCCCAAGCTTGTGACGGTAATCTATGGGCAATTTTGTTAACTTTTCTGGCAAACTAATACATGAGCCATCTCAAACAAGTTTTAAAATGGTTTTTTCATCAACATGACCAAGTCTGCGGTGCCATAACATAACATCACCCAGAACAACAGCAGCTTCAACAGAATTTGAAATGTCATGTAAAATCCACTTCCTACCTGACTTATGCGCTGCTATCAACACCCTAGATTTATTCCTCCAGAGCTCAATACCATCTTTTGAATTATAAAAACTAATTCCATCTTCCTCCAATTGGATACCTGATAGTAGACAATGGCACAAATTCTCACAGAAATAAACATGTTCAACATCCAAAAACTTTGACAAGTTTGTTATAGTTCAAATCCTAACGCTACCAACACCAGTTATAAAAGAAGATGCAGAATTTTTGGCCATCCTAACTAGTGGTAAAGGGGAAATGGAGCGTAAAGATGTAAAGTATTTCCAATTGTTAAACACATCGTGAGTTGCGCCGGTATTGAAGATAACGGTAGATCAGGGGGTGACATCGGTGTCCAATTGAGAAACAACAACTTGACAAATGTCCACACACCCTGTGAAATCAATGTTGGCAAACTTGGGGTTGATAGTCATCAGAATGAGCTACAAATAAGACTTGAGCTCAAAGCAAGAGGACTCAAGTTTGTTTGTGATTGTTATATCAATCAATTGAACAAAATTCCTGCCCAGTTTTTGAAAAAACTCAGTCGCTTTTTGAAGAAACTCAAGGTTTTTTTCTCCAAAGTCATCAATTACATGAAGGGCTGTAAATCAGAAAACCCAAACTTCCAGTTTGGCAACATTACCCTTCAAACAAAACAAAACGTGAAATGGCTAGGGTTGCGGTTAGATCACAAACTCAACTTCAACAGTCACATTCAACACATCAAGAAGAAATGTGTTTACACATTACAACAGTTTATTTAAATAAATGGATGCTACTCGCGCTTAGAAACAAAAGACATCAAAGAATTAATTAAAAAGGTACTCATCCCTAGAGTCCTCTGTGGTAGTATAGCATATTCCATTGTTTTATAGAGTTTTACAAAGTTTGCAAAACGGGCCCTAAGAGTTATACTACACAAAGTTGATTCTGGAACTTTTCCACAAAATTTCCAGAACATTTTTCAGACAGCCAGAATGCTTCTGCACCCTGGGCAAAAGGGCATTCAAACATGTACTGTTTTTCACAAGTCCAGGAGTCCAGAACACAGTCAAATCTGTGTTCTGGGGCAGTTCTGGAAAATTTGTGGAAAAGTTCCAGAATCAACTTTGTGTAGGACAAGTTACAGACAGTACAAGCATCATTTGAACACACTTGATTGAGAGCAACATGCTGGTGCAAAACCGGTAGTACCTCTGATATATACAATATTTTGAGAAATGAGGAATGGAAAGATACACAGATCAGCCTAGGTAAGTGTCAGTCAGTGTGACTTAAGAGGTTGTCAAATGCTCAGACAGATGCACATGTCAAGTCTTGATTGAGATGTGTGATACTTTTCTAATTGCATTTGCACTGCCAACAAAGATGCCTTGGATCGGAAAATCTGAGGTATCCTTGGATGGCAGTGGACTCAGATGTGGTGTCCAAGTGATTGATCTGAGGCAATCTCTGTGGCCAAAGTATGCCTTGGATTGATTCCTCAGACACACAGTCCAAGGGAAGGTAGATCCGACAATACCTTGGATTTTCTAATCTGAGGTATCTTTGCTGGCAGTGTTGAATCAAATGTGCACCTGTCACTTGTGCAAGTGAAGCGGCTCCTGGATTGCACAACCCTTTGAATGTTCTGGCCTTTGCCTGGTTTTAGTGTTTTTTTCAAACTTTACAATTGCATTGCTCTGTGAGTTTTGAATCAAACTGTAGGTAGGCTACACAGATATGTGTAGATTACATGGGCACACAGCACTGTTTTTTGGTCCCAAGGATATCTGTTTGCAGGATACACAGATATGGAGCATTGAAAAAGCCCCCAGCCAAACTTTTGTGGCTCATATGCCAAAGTTGTGGTATACTCTGCAAACATCATTCAACTTCCCCAAGTGGGAAGGCCAAAATGATCAGGATTATAATTTATCATGAAAGGATCTATCCCTGCAAACCTGAGCCATAAAACCCACACTACATATGTGCAGCAGGCTGAGTGAATAGGTGGCTATCATGTACATACAGTTCTGCTCAGTTAGCTGCTCATCTGGATACATGAATCATATGTAATGCATACTGTAAATTTTTTCAGCTTGGCAAAAGCATTACAAAAATTGACTACATACACTTACTCAAAGCTTTGGCATAATCTAATCAACTAAACTTCATGTAACAGCCTTTCCATTACTGACAAGTGGCTTTGCGAATATTGCCTGAGTTGCTATGGAGATATATGTAGTGGGTTTTGAGACAATTTTGTCAAAGTCAAAAAAGCTACATGATGTATCACATGTGATTTATTTATTCAGATGAGCAGACAACTGAGCAGATCTGTATGTACAAGATAGGTGCTAGACAGGTCTCCCGCAGGACATTGTTGAATTGTGTGGTTTAATCTAGTTTTGGGCTCTCAGATTTTACCTCAGGTGCATCACACAGACAAAGAATTCTGCCGTTTAATCCTTTAATGGCTGTACATGTGATTTTCTTATCCAGATGAACAGATAAGTGAGCGCTGATAGCTAAGGATTTACTCAGATGTTTGCACATACGTAGCATAAGTATGCTTCATGGCCCAGTTGTGCAGTGCAAGATGATTTCATGACACATTCTACTCTCAATCATCTTCCCAGCCTAGGTCACTTTCCCACCCGGGAACCTATTTATGTAATGCTGGCAGTGAAAGCCAATGACGGAGGCTTCTTGCAAAAGCTTCCACCACAAGGTTATGGAGCACTATGGAGCGTGCAAGATTGGTGTACTAGTCTATTCGGAAAAGATACGACACATTAGTCGGGGCCGGCGCAGTAAATGTGTCGTATCTTTTCCAAATAGACTTGTACATATGTAAGTCCCTTGTTAAGTTTAGCCCATTGCCAGGACCCAGGAATGCACCTGCTAATGTACGTGACTTAAAAGGGGGGGTTTTGGACTCTTTCGGAGAGCAAATTTTGATATGCACGTGACCAAAAGGGGTTTTTTTGGCCACTTTCTGCCTAGATGTACGTGACGTGAAAGGGGACTTTCTGGGAGTTGGAGTTTGATGTACGTGACGTGAAAGGGGATTTTAGACATGTCACAGTTGGGTTTCTTCGCTTGTGTATGATCAAAGCTTGATCATCCAAACTCTTCCAAGCCTCGATCAAAGCTTGATCTTCCCGGCAAATCTTCCATATAAACCGCAAGCCACCGCATAAACATCAACCTCAACAACGCAATTCTCCACATACAGCCGCATACCCTTGCATAACCTTCTATAACCTTGCATATCTCTGTTAGATATCACGTGAAATATGTTAAGTTTTGATCAAACCCTCAACAAAATAATCCGCCTTTGCGACAACTGCCCCGCTCTTTGAGAAGGGACTCGTCAAGATAAAACCTACATGAGATTCTCTAATCCACCCACTGCTGATGACGACGAAGGGATGTGGTACCCAGTTAATACCACTCTTGATGCCATATTTGGTGTAGACTGTATCAAACTCGAAATCTCAAAAGGACCTTTTGGACTTCCATTGGTGGTGGAATGGGTTCAGCAAGCGCGAAAGCACCACACTTGGGACGGCGATTCCGACAAGCTTATCAAGATCAAGTTGGATAATATCATATCTGCGCTCCAAGGTGAGTCTTTGTCGTCTTGAGCCCTTTTAACTGTAGAAGGGATGATTTAAGTGAATCATGATCTTGCTTGAAATCATGATTTGACCCAGATGCGGGAGCTGAAGATCATGAAGTGGATGAGCCACATGAAACGAATTCAGTTGTTGGTAACAAACGTCGAATCAGTCGAATCAGTCGAATCGAGTCCAACCCCACGACCTCGAACTCCTCGAACTCCTCAAAGTCCATGGATGATCCAAAGCGTCCAACCAAGCAATTCCGCACAGCTGCTCCCGCCAAAATATTGGATGGTGTCATCAATTCATCAGAAGTCATCCTTGTGCTTTCCTCTGACGAAGAGGAACGCAGAGGCTTTTCCAAGAAAAATTCTGCGAAACGCAAGCTCAGAAACGTCAAAGTGGTGAACTTATGCCCCTTATCAACTCCCAATAAGAACTGTAACCAATGCAAGGTGGAGACCCGCCTTGGCGGTAAACACTTCTCCTGCCACTGTGGAGCAAAATCGATTTGGCTTAGTGGTGGACGTGTAAGACCAGCGGAAACTCACTGGGCCACCGGTAAGCCATATCTCAATACATATTTCCCTTTTGATCTTTTGATGGTTGACTAACTCAAGACATGTTGCAGAGATTTGTAAGGACAAAACCGAGCAACTTAGAAGCAATACTCAGTTGACTTCATATTTTACAAACTCGACAACTTCCAATTCGAAAATGATTGAGGTACCTTGTCCAGGACTACACAATGGCACGTGGGAACGACCAAAAGCTCGACACACTATTGCACACTTCCTTTCAAAAACCTTTAGCGTCTATTGCGGAAACTTCCGACATAAAATCTGCCAGGACCTTTTTGGAGCTCATGCACAAGAGAGCAAATTGACGAAAGAACAGAAATCGAAATTAATGACAACTCTCGACGCTCAATCCAAATGGCAAGTCAAACAACACGGAGATCGTAATGCAATCTACTCTAGCAACTGTGAAAAGACATTCCTTTGTAATAGGACCATCAAAAACGCCATATGTACTCCTTGCAAACAGGTCAAAGGAATGCGTAGCTTAATCCGAGCCCTTAATTCGGATTACGCTGAAGAAGAAACTCTCAAGTACACTCCCAACAACTTAATGGAAGATCACCAAACCATATTCTCGCCAACTTTGCTGAAACTCGCTGACTTTCGACTACTCCAAACATCCATTGAAGCCGCCTCCAAAGGGGATTTTTCTGATTTCTTAACGGTCATGGCTGCCTCGGCTAGGAACGGTTTGTTTGATAATTGTGATGCAGCACGTGCCATGATCAAAGCGGTTGCAGTGAAGGCTGAACGTGTCAATTCTGGGAAAACCACTCGAGGTATGAAGATAGACTCATGTCTGGACGAGTTTGTCATGACACTTGGTGCCATCAGTCCACGTGCTCTAAGCCTCTTCAACGACAACTTTGCCGGTCGTAGCCAACACAGTCTCCGAATGATACGAGCAAGAGACGACATGCATCTACTTGATGGTCTTCACATCACCAATTTCAATCGAATTTCTCAGGTTCTGAAAGAACTTGGCTACTCCGGTCCAATTGCAACGGCTTCTGATCAAACAGTTTGTGTAAAGCGCCTTCGCCATCACAACGGCTTTTTGGTTGGCGCTCAAGGCGGCGATATATCTTTCGATGATCCTTCTGAACTTCCTGATCTTGTTAGATCGGTTGTTAAAAAAAAGAGCTTTGCTCTAAAGTAAGTATTATTCTCTTCGACTTTTCGATTGATTATTTAATGATTAAATCAACTTCAACCCATCTCTCAGATACGAGCGTATACATTACAAGTTCCCTTGCCTAATGTACCAACTTTTGTGGTGGCACTTATTGCTAGTTGTGATAAAGAAACTTCAAATGATATACTCGAAAATCATCACACCTTCTTGAAATTGTCTCAAGACGCGGGTATCAACATCTTATCAATTGGAGCCGATGGTGCACCAACCGAGCTATGTGCTCAAATTGCGCTTGCGGAGTCAGCAACTCAATTCATTACGTACGAAAACTCAGATTACGATGTTCACGTCAAAGTTCCTCTTATGGGTAATCCTCCTCGACCAGTTGTAATGGTTCAAGATCCTAAGCATGCCCGTAAAACTGGTGCAAACCAGTTGGGCTCCGGAGCCCGTCTGATTGTCATGGGTAACTACCATGTGTCTATACAACAAGTGGCTGCCATTCTTCAGTCTGGACGTAGTCCTCTTCTTCATAAAGACGTATTTGATTGTGATAAGCAAGACGACGGGCGAGCATTCCGAACTTTGAACTCGGGAACACTTGCGGTTTCGCTATCCAACGACGACACACTTGGTTTATCAATCTACCTGTTTTTAATTGGGGAAATGTGTGATGCATGGTTGAACCGAAGGATTGGACATCGCGAGAGGATTCGATCAGCATGGACCGCCGAGTTCTTCTTAAGACATTGGAAGAAGTGGCTTCTCAACCGACAAGCCGAATCTCACAAGCTAATGAGCTTTTCTCAAAACTGTGTATCGCCTCAAAGCTTCAAGATCTTCTCGACTCTAGCAACTTCTCTGCTTCAACTCATATTAGCTCACCGAGAATACTACCCGAACTATCCATTGCTCCCTTGGAAACATGGTAGCTAACCCGTTGAACATATATTTGGCTGGATGCGTGTCATATCCCCACGGTTTACTGTACTTGATGCTCAAATGATGATGCCTAAGATACATGCCATTGTCAAGAATGTCATGTCAGGCCGAATAAAGTTACCATCATCAGAGCACATGCATGCTGGATACCAGTATGCATTCTCTGACGAACCTAAAGACGAGAATCTCGACCTTCTTGCCCAGTTTCCCACTGATAGCGAGATATCAGAGGATCTGGCTGTTGCCTATGAGCGGGCTGATCAACTGGCCCAGGCCTCTGGAATGGGCTCTCTCAAATCATTAGACCAGGAAGTTCCGGCACCCGATCTTGACGATTTGCATGTAGAGTCACCTGAAAACTTCTCAGGTATGCTCCTTTAGGCTCCTTTCCCAATTGTTTACCCTTTTACTTGTATTGATATGTAAATTTGAAACTTCAGATATATCGGTATGCACGACTCAACAATATGATATCTTGTATGAATACGAAGGAAACGTTCTTCGTGAAAAGCAAGCTCTTGAAGCTGCTGCACACTTAACCAAGGAGCAAAACTCTGTCGACCTTCTTGATGCCTTGCCCGAAGATGCCCATACTAAATCATTACAAAATGCGGCGATAGACATTGCCAACCTTCTCAATCCAGCCCGTAAGTCCTGTTCCCATACAATATCTAATATATACTGACATATAACTTAACTTTTGTAGCTGTAGCCGAGCAGCATAACCAAAAATCGAATGACTGGCAAGCGACATAGCAATTGGTCCTCTAGTTATTGAGAGTAAGCTCATTGAGGCTAGTCTAGTAGCTATCAGAAAACGTCATGACAGCCAGGTTGTGAAGCACAAGGGAAATGAGCGAAGCCTTACTCATCCAGACGAACTACAATCAGAATTTACAAGCACAACTAAGAGTGGTGGTGCGAAAGCCAGTGCGTGTTCAAAGATCATCGCTGTCTGCTTCAAAAACTTAGAAGAAATTCCAACTGGGGAAGCGCGTCGGCACCGATGGAATATCAATATCAAGATTAATCTATCTGGCATCGTGAAAAACACTGCGACTTTGGGTCAGATCGAATTACAAGGCCTTCTTGAAGGCGGGGAAATCAAGCCTTCAAACCCTATCAAACCCGGAAGCTTCATCATTGCGATCAAGAATCATGCATGTCTATTTCACAACTTTAGTCATAATAACTCAATCACATTTCCTGATCCTGATGGATTTTTACTCTTTAGAATCTGTACTTGGCACGAACACTTGTGGTCTACAAGCTTCTCAACAAGAAACACGCGTTTGTGACAAGTGCACATGCGCGGAAAGGGTTATCACACATAGCCGTACAGATCCTTTTCTACAATCCAGCCTTCCCGGTCATAACGCCGACTGAAGGTTCCAAGACATTGACTTATTCCCTCTTAGATGCTACTGATGTAGTATATGTCTTTGGGCCATCGGCGGGTTCAACATTCACATCCGTTGGAGAAGGTTGCTATATTATTCCGCCGGTCATACGCAATATGCTTGGCTCTGTTCATCTCGACAAGCTTATTGACCGTTATTACAATGAGTTGGCCAAAATGAAATCTCAGGCTAAAAATGGAGATATTTCTGATGAAGAATGATTATATAAATAAAATGGAAGTATCCTAGTAAATCCTCATAAAGTTTGATCATATTGCAATAAAACAAAATGTTATACATGAGGCATTTAAATGTTATACACGAGATATTCATGATAAAGAATGATTATATAAATACAATGGTTGTAAATCCTCATAAAGTTTGATCATGTTGCAATAAAATGAAATGTTATACACGAATGTTTGCAACTTATGTGTTTTTTTAAGTATTATCGGGGGGTTTTTTTTTGAGGTACGTGACCTAAAAGGGGATTTTTTGGGGACAGAATACCAAAAACCAGGTTATGTACGTGACCTAAGAGGGGATTATTTAGGAACTTTTCGAAAAGTTTCCAGAAAAATGGGTATTTCCAGGTCACGTACATTAGCAGGTGCATTCCTGGGTCCTCCATTGCCACGCCCACCTCAACCTGTTCACTATGTAGTGTATCCAAAAGTCCCACGCTGACCCGAGCCGTCGGCGTGGGACTTGGATAAGTTTAATCCATTGCGCCATTTCAGGCCATTTCTCTACATATATGTATCTCTCTCTTTTACCTTCAATACAATAGGTGCGTCGAAATAAAACTGACGCTACTGTACAACCAGCTCAGAACGAGTCTGCTCAGGACTGCTTGAGATTCATTTGGTTAGGTTTCGTTGAAGTAAAAGTCACTGGGTTGATTTTTTGAATTTCCAAACACCGCTGTGCAGCTCGCCCAAAGGCTCAAGGTTGCGACTGTCCTCGCGACATCAATGATCATTAGGCTTATTCCCACACGAGTTTCGTGAGCGTGGAGGTATGACTATGACAGGGACTTTGTTAAGTTCGAGGTATGTACATGAGTATGACGAGTGAATTGGCGGGGGATGAAATGGATGAAATGGATGAAATGACCTCGAAGCGCGGCAATCTCTCATGGTATATGTGCTATTTAGGTACTGGGTTCATCAAAATAGGATCCGTCTTCATATACATGTCAGCCATTGTAACCTTGGCTCCAGAGGTGTGTTCAAGCCTGTTCAAGCAGGTTCATCAAGCCGAAGCGGCCTGTCGCGCGTCATCCTTTTTTCTAGCTGTGTTTCTCGATGTCTTGTGAATTTGTGAGTATGTATCTGTATATATCCAGTCCATGGAAGGGTAGTATCAGTATGTATGTCAGGAGTTTGTTTGTGAAGGAAGACATCCAAGATTGGAGATTTCTAGCCTCAACGTGAAACGAGTCATTTTCATCCTACCCGCGTTACTTACCTTCCCAATTTTTTCGCGATGTCTTCGGAGGAGAAGAAGATAATCGAGTTCGTTGTCCGTCTCCCCCCTGACGTAAATCCATATGGCGCGGTAGCCCAACACATGAAGGAATTGATGACAGTAAGATGCTTATAAATCAGAAATCAACGGTTTCGCAAAACTCATCAACTTTTTCAATCTATCCAGCCGCCGCGAATGGCTACTTGGGCGACTGTGGCACAGCGTTGCGCCGTGATCTTGCTCGTTCTGTAAGCTTATTGTTTGCTGTCCATAGCATCAGCCAGCTACCACGCAGACGAAAGAAACTCCCATTGACCTTGACCTGCTTTGCGACCCATATTTTGATACCAGAATGTTTCTACAAGCCGTGCACTTGATCTACGCTCGTATCAGTGCGGGTGCGTTCAAACTATGGATTTTTACGCGCCGTGAGTGTTTGATTAGTAGCCGCGTCATCTCGGTCATTCGTCTGCCAAAATCATGACACGTCTTTGCATCACAGTCGGCCTCTATCATGTCGATATCGCTAGCACGGCCGGCTTGACATATATGGTGTATAGTATCTGTCAGTATCACTCTAGTATAGGTGTGTTTTCCATACCGACGTACTGATACATCACAACTCCATACAGTGGCGATAGTAGATTTGGTCATCCTAGATTTTTGCAACGCTGGCAAACGTGATCTGTCTGGAGAGCTCGTTTTATTTGGCTGCAAATATATAATTATCGTTGGGAATGCTTGGTGAGCATCAGACAGAGTCTAGACTGGTGGTATTCTGATAGGCTGATCATGAACCGGTTTCGTTTTTTTGGCAAAAGGTGTATGTTCTACGGCTGCTAATCTGATCACGTGCTGTGTCTGACACAACCTTTATCTTTGATCAGTTTTTCTATGGGTGTGTGCTTGCCAGTGTGCAACTTTAATTTGCGAATCAGGATTAGGGGAGACGTCTGGCACGGGAAGGAGACTCCATCCAGCAATCAGGGCTGCTATGAATACATCATTGTTGATGGCACTCGTCCTTCCAATCCGTCAGTAACCTGATATATCATACCTGATTTCTGAGGCAGACTCGCTGTTAGCGTAGCTGATACCTATAGGTCCTACTTGGTACTGCTTTCCAACCTCGTAGCTTTAGTAGTGCATTACTATACGAGGCTCGATCAGGAGTATGGTATGGCAAAAATGATATTGCATGATGTACTTAAGGGACTCAGTACCAAAGCGGCCACTGTCACCCCGCAGAATTATAGTCGCATGGCACTATTAGCAATGCTGACACCAGCCCGAGGTATGCAGCCGCATGCTGTGAGTGGGAAATATTTTGTAGGGTATCATTTTCATTGTTATCTGACTCTTACTTGTTGGTCACTTCACAGAAAAATATGGCCAGATTCACCCGGATGGGCATCACAGTTTACCTAGTGGAATTGACCATCCTCAGTGTCGTAAGTGTATCCCAGTCAAGGAGCGGATGTGCCATAAAACTGCTTAACTCATCCCAACTCCACCAGTTATATGTGCCTCTCCTAGCGTTCTCGCTAAGTCGTTTGTATGCAAGATCAGTGTCTCAAAAACAGCTGTCTCAAGCCGCGTCAGGCGGTGAAGGGAGTGAAAAAATTTCGAGTATGGGTCGCAAGATCCGCGAGCAGCGTACAAGGCTAGTGACGCATGCTATAATGTCATATGTGACAACTTTTCTGCATGTTCCTATCATCATCGCGCAGGCAAGTCTTTGATCTACGCACTCCGGGATTCGAGTAATACTTTTGAGATACATTCTAACGTATCGGGCGGGTTATCGTAGCTTTCTTACAAAGGTGATGGGTTTCTACTAGATAAGACGTGGTTGACACTCACCCGCGTGGTACGTGAGAGATCTCCCCAATCAATATGTTCACTCTTTTCTCATCGTCTATGAATGCGAAACAGGGCCTCAGTCTACCGTTCTCTATTGGTGGAAACGTGTCAGTAAATGCTTTTCACGTCTGTATAGATTCAAGAAGCTGATCACATGTCGACTTTTCTCAGAATCGCTTTTATACTCAATCTCCACGCGCGCAATCAGTTGATAGAAATACGGAATCAGAGCCCACCTTCGTCAACCATGAACCCAAGCTACAGCGGCAGTAGGAACAAGGAAACTTCATTGCCCAAATACACTGCTATTCTCCGCGGACGAGAAAATGTGGCGCTTTCAGTCCTTCCGACCCACATCAATCAAACACTGAGTTCGACCTCGAAATCGATTAGCCAAAAGTCAAGTGTGAATTTCAAAGAAACATTCAACAATTGTCCGAACGACCAAAAGTCTGAGATGAGTGCAGAGGAATCGATTGCCAAGAATTGATCGAAATGGAAGTTCATCAGCATCGTGGATATTATAGTGTATGCACATGTGCTGCTGTGTTCCTGACCACTGCATAGTTCCCGACAAGACCGCAGTTTTTAACGGATCCCGTTGTCAAAGCTAGCAGATATGTATACCTTTCATCACGACCTTTGGGAGCTTCAATCTCCGGCTTCAAGTGCAACCAAATATTCTCAATTACTCAACCAACTCAAAAAAAGCATTGATACCAGTTCATCATCTTTACATTCCTTCTTATCTGACCTTACATTTCTTCTCCTCTAACCTGACCTTCCTTCTTATTTAATTTTACTTGTTTCCATAGACTCAATAATATGGTATTATAACAATACAACCCTAAGCTAATAGGTCTTGACAGCAGATCTATCTGTTCATCTGACAAATAATACAGTAATTTTATAGCTCTTTTGGAATGTGTCCCAAGACCAAGTTGAGAGATTTCAATTTATTGGGAATGACAGAACTGGAAGGAATGTGATCTAGGCCAAGTGACCAACTAAGACTAGCTGGTGAATTTGTCAAAGATATGTACAAGCAAACAGCCAAGAAGTGCTGCTCTAGATCTTGGTGACTATTTTCCTTTGATGATATTCACCAAAGGATCAGTTTGAGCACAAGAACAAAACCACATCCACATTCTTAGGTTGTTTGTTTCTTTGTTCATACAAAACATCAGAGCAATTGAAAGACCACTACTGCAACCTTTGGTTGTTTTTTCATTGAATTTTACCTTGAGTTTTAGTTTCAAGGTAAGTATCATTCAATTGAGATTATGATGTAATACTTGGGTTATCTAATCTAGTAGTGATTCTTTTCCATCTATGACTAATCTCTTATTCATTAGTAATTAGGTTTATTTTGCTGTGATCAGTTGTAGTGATTCATAGGTATATAAGGCTAAAGGGGTTTACCCATTGTACCCTTTTACCTTTCTTCTTTACTGATTTCTATTTTTCACAACGAGCAGATTTGTCTGCTCCTATTGGTCATAGTGACTTTGTCACTTCTAGTTAATGACTAACTAGAGCTTCCTCAGTCTCATAACCTTTTTGTGATTCATTTTGCCCATTGGCCTCACACTTCTGCTGCCACTCTTCATATGCTAGTCAACCTTACAAAAATTGTTGAAACTTTATGTGTTGAAAAATTACTTCAATGCACTGGAAAGGACAAGTCATCCTCACTTTTAACTTAACAGAGTCCCTTGGAGCCTGCGGAGAGGGACTTAGGACTAATCACGGTTTTTTGGCTTGAGCACTAGTCTCCATGGCTTAAGTCCTCTTAAGTTGTTTTTCCCATTCTTCCACTTCCCTCCCTTATAAATCCACCTGTTTGCCATTATAAATGTTGTTCAGACTCACTTTCTACATGTGTCAAGCCCTTCATGATCCCAGGAAAAAGGCACCAAAAGTCTTTCCGTGAGCTCATTTTCCAAGGCTTATGTCCCACTGGTAAGTGAGATTACAGCCTGTATCCACAAAATAACCACAATACAGGCCAGTGTTTGGAGTTCTACCAATTACTTTGTAGACCACACCATCCACATTCCTCAGGTTGTGAGGCTACAAGGACGCGTAGAAACTAAGTCTGAACAACATTGATAATGAAGAACAGGGAGATTTATAAGGGAGGAAAGTGGGAAAGTGGGAAAAACAACTTAAGAGGACTTAAGCCGTGGAGTGCTCAAGCCAAAAAACAACAATTAGTTGTAAGTCCCTCTCCGCAGGCTCTGAGGGACGCTGTGAGAGGGACTTTGTTAAGTTAATCCTCACTTAAAGGCACATAAGAAAGGAATCTCACAGAGGGAACCAGATGATCAATTTGCCACAGAAGTGGACATTGGAGTTCTAACTGCTAGAGCCAAGGTATATGTGGTATATTTCTAGATCCGGCTCCAAAGAGATATAAAAACAAGATCAGTCTCAAATTGGCTAAGGAGCCAGTTTTAAGTGAATAATAAAGACCAACACAAGTTTTTAGAGCATCCCCAGTGATCCCCCAAATGTGCGGGCTCTTGACAATGTGGGGGGGTCAAATTGCAAAGAACCACCCCAGCGGCCCTGACATGATCCGCGGTGAGATGTTGAAAATCTCCAGATTTTGAGAGGGGCCCTCCACATCTGCGAGGTCTAGGCGGGCTCTCAACATCACATGCAGCTTCTTCCATGTGACCAATACAGAACACGTGGACTCAAGCCTCACTCAAAAAATTTCATGAACAGCTGTATAAGCATTCTCATATCACTCAATCAAGTATTGACCCCCAAATTTAGGTACAGTGTTGTGCAAGGTGTTTTTTTGACCCCCTACATCCCAAAATCAAGCTTGGGGGTCTGTTTCAGACCTTGCACAATTGGGGCACCACTGGGAATGCTATTATGGTACAGGTGATTTTTGGTTGTATCATTATGCTTGAAATGATGTGTGTACTGTAAGTTGGACTGTGACCTGGCCCTGAAATTCTAGGGCCGGTGTAGAACTTATAGATCAACAAGAGCTTTACAGACAACATCTCAGTACCTGTCCCAGCCATTTTTCTGAATGAAGATCTGACCAAAACTACCATCAATAATGATGAATCCAATGATGAAGATGATATCCTCAATGCTGAATTTCATACAAGACCCAAGACAGCCGGGGATGAGAAGGAGGATGATCCTACCTACAACAATCTTCCCACAGATGCCTGCATTTTTTTCAAAGGTGCTTTAATGGTATGTCACTTGTTCTTGTTATCATCTACTTCCCTTCACTTTCATCTCTTAACTGAAATCAATGGCACTTAGTTCAGGAATTTAATGCCCTTCTCACTCAAAGCAATGCCAGGGGAGGTGAGTTCCAAGCTTGAGCTTCCCTGATGGGCTACAAGAGACCGGGTCCAACTACAGGATGGGGTATTTGTTGGAACATTGATCTAGAGAGGTATTCCCGCCTGGTAGCTGGACGAGACATAAGTAATTCATTCTGATTGATACAGTGACAGCAGAGTTGCTGACATTGTTTATGAACTCTTTCAGGTTGTGGATTCAATTCTTATTTTGGATAGGAAGACTAAATATTATCAAGGCATCATGATGACCATGGATGAATGGGATGCTGTTGATACACTATGCAAAATATTAGAAGTAAGTCTTTTTCAGTTGAACTTTTCTTTATCTACGTCCAAGGTTCTGAATATTGATTGTTTGTCCGGTCTTTTGTCACTCAACCAAGCATATGGAGGGCAATACCGCAACAGGTGCTATTGTCCTGGCTGAATATCTCAGAGTACACAACTTACTCTTGGATATCAGCAGCTCTACTGCCTTTCCAGGCCTTGGAATTATATATGGTAGATACCATGATCCAACAGCTTGAAAAATTTCAAACAGAAGCTGTGACTGCCAAGGTCATCATCCTGGTCACCATACTTAATCCTAGATAGCAACTGAAGTTTTTTGATTTACATTACCCAGAAGAGGTTTCATGAGCTAAAGAATGCATTGAGGACATATTTGGAAAGACCTTGGATACTTGGCCTGCTAACTCACCCTCTACCCCTGATCCAACTCCTTTGCCTTTGGGTGGAGTTTATGACCAGTTCAATGTGTTCATTTCTTCTGCAACTTTCCAAACACCCAAATCAATCCAAGCAGCTGAGTTGGACTTGTACCTTCAAGGTAATCACCCAATTCTCCATGGCCAATCTGAGCTAGGTTGGTGGATGGTAAGTTTTGTATCTTACTCATGACCTAAGTACAATGGTTGAAAACTGACCTGATATCCTCTGTAACAGGATAGCACTTGTCACTACCTAGTTCTTGCATCAATTGCACAAGACTATCTCAGTATTTCAGCTACTTCTTGCGCTGAAGAGTGTGGATTTTCATTTGCAGCCAATATTGCTGTTCCTGGTCGGGGTTCTTTGAAGCCCAACAACACAATCACTTGTGTTGTTGGCTTTTGTGAGTGGTTGAGATATGGTGAAGCCCTGGCTCATCTTTCTTCCTTTAAGAAACATGGGCGTAAATGAACCTACTTTTCATATTTTACTCAATCTTTCTTTTTGATTCACTTGTTGTTTCTTTGTACCATGTTTTAGTCTGATTTATTTTAGTTTATTCCATTCACTCTTTTAATATTTCAAGTCACTTGTTGTAGTATTTAAAGCTCAACAAGAGCTTTACAAAACTTGATCAGAAGGGATAATCTACTAATGTATGAATAGTAGAAGTTGCCTAAAGACTGCCTTCTTCAAAGAAACCAGCACAAGGGCACTTGCTGATCACTTTGTGATAACAGGGAAAGAGATCAAGGCACCAAAGAAAAGTTCTCAATACTTCTAATAAATATTTCCAGTTTTTAAGCACAAAAAGTCCACAAATAATATCAATTACTAGCAATACTCACCATGTTGGCCATTTGGTGTTTGCTTCTCAATGAGTGCACACGGGTCGCCTTTGTGCCTCAAAAGCATTATGTGTGCGCTTGTTGTTGGGGGACTGCCACAAGGACACAGTGACTGTTGTAAGTATTATTCCCAAAGAGACATGTAGTCTATAACACATGTAAACAAATTTCTCCTTACTTGAAGGGGCGGATTTGAGTGACTTTAGTACAAATATAGTAATTTAATGATGATTAAAAACACTATAACAAAGGTGTAAGATGAGGCAAAAAGGGAACAGCAATCCCAAAATCATCTGTGAGTATATATATTGATGTGTTACAACTCTTACAGGGGTCAACAGCCTCAAAAACCAATCAATTTTGACCAAAAACCCCTAAAACCCCTCTGATGACGTATTGTAATGACTTTATTAGGGCAGTTCAAGTTAACCAAAAATGTTGTAAAATTATAAGGGCACGTTTGGTACAGCTTGCAAAAGTTCATACCTTATAAAACATACAAACTTTCTGACCCTGGAAAGTCAAAATTCAGCTTAAGTTGACTTTTATCCACAAGTCAACTTAAAAGTAAACAAAAGCTGAATTTTGTT